CACCCCGCACGGTCAATAGCCGCTTTATTTCTCGACCCCCACACCATCCGACTTTCTCTCTGTGACTGGCTGGGTGCTTGCTGGCCAAGTCGCCCTCAGGGTCGGAGTCTCCCTCGCCCTCGCCGAAGATCACTCGTATAGACCTTGGTCTAGGCATCGGAGAAAATCCCGCTGCCCGACTGATGGGAGTACAGGCGCGGTGCCATCAGGTGGGTGCCATGTTACCTGTCATACCTGTGTGGGATCAATGTTAAGGCGTTGGAGTCAGCTTTCAGACAATCTAGTGCCATTATTCGGCTCTTCAATCGGGGTGCATTCCGCGAATGTGTTCCCAGAACAAGGTCGATAATTGTGTGTTCTATCTAGCAAACCCTCCTCTGAGGGGACAGTAACAGACGAAGGTTGACTGGCCAGACGTGGCTATAACAATAGGAAATATGGATTCTTCAGAAACAGTTCGTGCATTGGTGCTATATGGCAAGAATGACTTGAGACTGGTAAGAAACCGGGCTTCTGCTAGACCAACATAACACTGACGGAAATATGGTTGATCAGGAGACGAGACGACCACCTGTTCTGCAAGCTGGCGACGTCCAAATAGCAGTCAAGGCAACAGGTATTTGCGGCTCGGATTTGCATTACTACCGTCTCGGACAGAACGGAAATTTTGTTGTTCAGGCGCCACTCGTCCTGGGTCATGAGGCATCAGGTGTTGTTACTGCTATTGCTGAGGGCGCAAATGGGGACGTCCATCCCTCGAATCTCAGAGTCGGCGACAGAGTTGCCCTGGAAGTCGGATTCCCCTGTCGCTCGTGCGGTCTGTGCACCATTGGTCGGTACAATCTATGTTCCAAGCTGTCATTCAGATCTTCTGCAAAGACATTCCCACACATCGATGGCACCCTGCAGACGGCGATCTCACAGCCAGCCGCTATGTGCTACAAGCTACCAGAAAATGTCACCTTCGAACAAGGTGCCCTGGTAGAGCCCCTCGCCGTCTCGCTACATGCATTGAACCGCAGTCAATCTGGGGGATCTGGAGTGGGAGTGCCTCTGGTTGGGTCCAGCGCCTTGGTCTTGGGAGCGGGTGCCGTGGGAATGTTGACTGCAGCTGCCCTGTCAGTTGCTGGGGTATCTAAGATTGTTATCGCAGACATCGACGGCCCCAGACTAAAGATCGCCGCGACACTGGGTGGTGGCAAGTTCAAGTTGAAGACATTCCTTATTCCTCGAAAGCCTCCTGCGCAGGCCATCTCGGAGATCCTGTCGGAAGCACAGGAACAGGCGGCAGAGATCTGCAAGGCAGAGGGATTAGAAACGGGATTTGATCGAGTGTTTGAGTGCTCTGGTGCTCCACCGTGTGTGCAGATGGGCGTGTATGCAACGGCAGCAGGCGGGAAGCTGGTCTTGGTTGGAATGGGCACACCAGTTCAAACCTTGCCTTTAGGTGCAGCTGCTCTGCGAGAGGTGGACATCATCGGCGTCTTCAGATACGCCAATTGCTATCCTGCTGCCATTGCGCTTTTCGCCAGTGGTCAATTAGACGGTGTTGCGGAGGATCTGATCACGCATCGGGTGGCACTTGCAGATGGAGAGAAGGCATTCAGAGTAGCGTCTAATACGGGACTGGAGGGAGAGGACGAAGGGAGGGTACCTGTCAAAGTGGTGATCACATCATGATACACCAGGCTCTTGTTTGCAGACATGCGAAAAGCTCTGAAGATAGTATACCTAGAGCATTGGGTCTCAGGAATTCGGCTGGCAATGTTGAACTGCGCTTTAGGCATTCCACCAGCGGCGCGTCGCGTCCCGATGTGCGGAACAACTTGAATCACAAGCTGCGCAAAGAATTGTCCGCAATTCAGGATACCACTGGATGATCATGGTTCTCCATGAGGTGGATTAGCGGACTTTCTTCCTCATGTCAATATGGAGGAGAGACTAAAGATATCCGGCGCATGATGTTGCCTTGTCGTCATGAATTCACTACCACCTAGCACAAGCTAGTAAGTAGATTGTTTGGGGCCTGACGTCAATTCTCCGGCTCGCATGTGCTCGGACTAAGTGAGCAAAGAATGTTTCAACCGGTGTCTAATTATTTTCGTTCCTTTCCATCAGTCGCGGCTAATTGACCATTATCAGAATCACGCAAATTCTTACGGCAGACATGACAACACGAAAGATCCTCGTAACAGGTGCTACGGGCAAGCAGGGCGGCGCCGTCGTCAAAGCACTGCTTGCAAACCCACCTCCCTTCGACTACGAAATCCTGGCAATCACCCGCAAGACCACCTCCAATGCGGCCAAAGCACTGGCGTCCAAGCCCAAAGTCACCCTCATCGAAGGGGATCTTGACGACTGTACAAGCATCTTTACAAAAGCTGGAGGCGTCGGGGCGGTATGGGGCGTCTTCTGCGTGACGTTGCCCAACTTCAAGAGCAAGGTGGAGGGCAAGGAGACACAACAGGGAAATGATATGGTGGATGCGGCTATCGCTCACAAAGTCAAACATTTCGTCTATACCTCTGTCGATCGTGGTGGCCCAGACAAATCTGAAGTAGATGCCACTTATGTTCCTCACTTCGTTTCCAAGGTTTGTCCGGCCGTTCAAGCTGCGAGCACATACAACAAGTACTAACCCTCATCCCAGTACAAGGTGGAGAAACACCTGAAAGAGAAGGTTCGAGGAACAGATATGACCTATACCATCTTGCGACCGACAGCATTCATGGACAATCTCACACCCAATCTCCCAGGCCGCATCTTCGCTGCGACTTGGCATACAATGGGCGACAAACGACTCCAATTGGTCGCAGTAAGAGATATTGGTGTCTTTGCAGCCAAGGCCTTTGGCGCCGCCGAGACAGACGAATATAAGAACACTGCAATCAGCCTCGCCGGCTGCGATCTGACCCAAGCCGAGGCTGACGAGATCTTTTGGAAGGTGCTGGGACGACCAATGCCTCGATCATACGATTTTGTGAGCCACTTTCTCATGTACATGGTGCCCGAAGCAGGCACCATGATTCGATGGTTTAAAGAGCAAGGGTATGGAGCAGATTTGGCACAATGTCGACGACTCAACGAAAACATGCTCGACTTTGAGGCATACCTCCGAGAGGAGAGCGGCTTCAAGCGCTAAGGTCTGGCACAATCAAACCACATTGCAGTGATCGTCGACATCGTTGGTAGAACCTCTCATCTCATCTCAGTGTCACCAGCGTCAGCATGGAGTCTGGCGTTGGTTGTGTGGGGGCCAGATCCTCCATTCAGTTTCCTCCGAGTGACGATTGATGGAGCCTTGGCTATCTTCCTTCAATCTGTTTCTGTATCACCAGCTGTCAGTGCTGCATGTCTACGTCATTGCCCCAGGGCTGCCGATATAACCGGGACGGCGCGTGCTAGTTGGGTAATATGTGGAGGACCATCTGTGACCATAATACGAGTGATGGCTGGTTAAGCTTTTGTCCTTTGAATATACAAGTGTCGCACCAAGCTGATGGCCAAACTAATCTCTGAGCGGATGGATCTGTAGTATTTCTGGAAGCATGACAGTTTGGCTACTATATTTGCCCTTTGTGATCTATACGGTCGCCCGTGGGCTGTTGTGGCTGTTCATTGTAGAGATGTTTATGTTTCCATGTGGAAAGACTGGCCGAAAATAAAGGGATCAAGCTTCAACTTGTTCATGCAGCCTCCAGGGCCGAGACGCAGGAACAAGGAGCCACTGGGAGCCTTGCAGTGGTTGATTGGCTGGTGGCGCAATTTGACGAGTGGCTAGAGTGGCACTTGAAACACAGGCTAATGTTTGGAATGCGAACGACTTTGTTCCCTGCCACACCTTCTGTCCTTATCATTCTCCCCCATACTTTTCCGAGATCCCAACCCTGTGCCTATCGTTTGCCTCTTTGTCATCCATCATGACCACCCGTCTGAAATGAAAGGGGCCACAAAGGACCTTGCTTTTCTTGGTTGTGTGCCATCAGTGAGTTGTCCAGGTCGGTTTGGGCGCAGTAAGGGTGTTTGAGAGGTTGATTGTTTCAGTCACTTCACTTTCATCATGTTGTGCCACTGCCTCACCGCAACAACCTCACTACGAGTACTGATTATCTCGGATGTCGTTTGTCAATATGAGTCGCAATCCTCTTGTGCCGGACCTAATAGACTGTGCGCCCCCTCCAACGCCTCCACAAAGCTTCGACCTTAAGGCTATCTGCAAGATCAATCCAAAGAAAAAATATCCCGCACCAACCACATCTGTTCCCTGCTATGCCACGCGGACTAAGGCTAAACTCTAGCACCTGAAACGCAGAGTCCTTCAGAACCCAGACCCTTATCCCACTGTGCTGGGTTGGCCTATCGATAGCAGGCCGTGATGTCTATCCCGCAGCCTTGACCCCAGAAAGGGGACACCATCTACGAGTGCATGGGCATCATGGGTCAAAGCTGGTTCCATCCGACCCCTTGCGCTTAGATGCCGATCGAAATATTCCCATATCCATGCTCCACTCGCTCATCTGCTGGTTCGCAAGCTCTCGTTTCTTGTCTATGGTCGCCTGCCTTCTGCCCAACCTGCTGGTCAGCCGTTGACCCCAAGTGAAGTCGTTCGCTTATCGACCTACCGTTCTTTACCATTGTTCTCTCAACAAACACAAACAATGCTTGCGCAGGCATTGTAGTTTCGCTTTGTCCCAGAGATCAATGTGATCCATTGTCACTCCTTTCATCCTCACTCCCTTTGTTGTTTGTTCTTGTCGCTCCTTTGTCACGGCCGTGCCGGTCCATTTGCTTTTCTACCGTTCTTTTGAGCTTCGACAGTTCGAACCACCAATCCTTTCAGACAAAAGATACTCTGCGAGTACTACACGGCCTCTTCAAAGAACTCAGACCTTTTTCGCGAATCAACCTCTTTGCGGAAAACTCCCATACCTTCGACGACTCTTCTTGCTCGTCACCAGAAGTATTCACCCTTTACCTTCAGCGACTCTGCGAACTTCATCATGCCCATCAAGTCAACCTTCAGCAGCGCCCTCTTCGGGTTGCTTGCTACACTACCTCTCATCTCAGCGCATACATGGATCGAACAGTTGATGGTTATTGCTCCAAATGGTACTTTGGTCGGACAGCCAGGATTTCCGCGCGGAAATGTCTTGCGTGGAACTCCCCAGTTCAATGATCCGGCGATGGTCAATCTCATTCCACCCGATGGACGTCCAATCAACCAGATCCAGTCTTCTGACCTCATGTGTAAATCCACCCAAACATCCCAAACCCAAACCGATGGTTCTCCGAGACTGCAGGCTCCTGCTGGGGCAGGTGTTGCACTGCGCTTCCAAGAAAACGGCCATGTCACTTTGCCAGACAACCAACCCGGCAAGCCACCCAATCGAGGCACAGTTTATGTCTACGGAACCTCTGAACCCAACCCCGACGACTCTTTCCTTGCGATCCACCGTGTTTGGACGCCTGACGGCTCCGGTGGTGATGGTCGCGGCCGTCTCTTGTCCACTCGCAACTTCGACGATGGGCAATGCTATCAAGTGAACGGCGGTCAGATCTCCCAACAACGTCAACAGCAGTACGGTCATCCTTTCGATGATCTGATGGGCCAGGATCTCTGGTGCCAACAAGACATTCAGATTCCAGATGATGTACCCACGGGTCAACCTTTTACCCTATATTGGGTCTGGGACTGGCCGACGTTGCCAGGCGCTCCAGGCTATCCCAACGGCAAGCAAGAAATCTACACTACCTGCATGGACATTGATATCGTTGACAATACCGACGTCAACGCGGTCTCCAGGGCCCAGGTTAACTATGCTCCTGGTCAACCTCTTGACAATGCTGCCGTGTCTGCTCAGATGACCGATCTTGCCAATCCTACTGCCGTCACAGGTCAGACCATCCCTTTCACCGGCCTTGCCACCACCTTTCTTTCACATGTATCGCCGACAACTACCACCCGCATGCTAACGTCCACTTCTTACACAGGTTCTACAATTGCCTTCTCCGCCTCAGCTACAGGGCCTGTCTCTGGTGGTGCAAGCGAAGCTAGTGTCTTCGCTGCTACAGCATCCGAGACTGGAGTTCCTGGTTTCCTAAGCGTCCATGTGGGTTCAACAGCTGGACCAGGTGTCGAGACCCAAACCTTTAGTGTCATTCCGATCGGTGTATTCACTACCACTACTGATAACGCCCTGGCGCAACAAACTGGCGGTTCAGATGGCGGAGATGGAAGTGGTCGTGGTGGGCGTGGCGGCAACAACAACGATGGTACGTTACCATCCCCGTGGATCTTCTCGGTACTTTCCAAATGGCTGAACGGCCTGGCCGCTGACTCTACTGCCTCCCCAGAACCTCAAGTGACAGCCGCTCCAAATGCTGCCGGCAACGTCGTCGTGGCGACTTTTACCGAATATGAATCTGTTTACGAGACCGTTTACGAGACTGTATATCTAACGCAGTACACGAAGCGAGATGCAGGTGAGTCTCACTATCCAACTGCCCTGGGGCTCATGGACGGCGATCTTGCCTCTGTGACGACCTCTGACTCCCTTCCCATCCACACTCCTTCGTACCCGTCCAATTGCTTCTGGTGCCCAACTGGCTCGGCAAATCCGAGGTTCACCCAACTGAGTGGCCCACCACCTTGGCTCAGCGGCGCTCGGGCGACGAGAACTCGGTGGCCTCGTCCGCATCCGACAGACTTGGGGACATACAGCAACAGCGGCACCAGATTCGGTGGCAGACATGGCTTGACGGCGGAAAGCACAATCACAATTTCAAGCACCCTAAGTGTGACAACATATGTGCCTTCGACTTCGGCTGCCGCTGCAGTGGTTCCTGTGTCTTTGGATCCGTCACCAGTATTGACAGAGGCCGCAACCACTCAAAGGGCAGTTACCCTTGACGGTACATCGACCCTGACGACATACTTAGGATCTGCCTCTGCCTCTGGTGCTGTCAACACTGATGCTGATGCTGATATCTCCACTGTTGCCGTGCCGCTGTCGAGCTACACTCCCCAGCCCTTCCCTCCTCTTCCCTCCTCAAGCCCTACAGACACAGACAACTATTCTGCCCAATCCCCTTCATCATCCATCCCGTTCTCTTCAACCTCCACAGCTACAGTCACAGTCACGATCTCTCCCTCTGCCTCTCTACCTACATCACTGCCACCAGCGAATGCGCCAGGAGACCAGGCACTAACGTTTGCTGTTCTTCCAAATACAGATACTTCACCAACGCCTACACCAGCACCAACAGTTTCAACAGATCACTCCGTGTTCCGACTCAGGGCACGAAACCCCTTTATTTGGCTAGGCTGGACCACGCAGCAGGCAGAAGCAACCCAGGGTGTTTCTTCCTCATGACCTGAGCGATGACCATGGGGAAGCTGGACCTCGATATGAAAACAATTACTGTACATAGCCGGATCGCATCATTATGGACAGCAAAGGAAGAGCCGGGCTTCTCTTGCTTGGCTTTGTAACGAATCAGCGCAAGGGGAAAAGGGTTATCTACGGTACCCAGTCCAGACAAACGCTTGACATCTCCTGCTATTTGGAGGAGAAGGTCGAAATCGACCAGGCCTGGAGCTTGGAAATGAGGGTTATGGTGATCTCAGCCACATTCTTCATGATTTACTGCATTTTGCACGGCTTCCACACGGCTGAACTAGTTGGGAATGGATGCGTCGACCTGCCGCTGTATGGTTTGGCTTAGGAACCCGGACCAGGTTGGAGGCCATATTTTTTCGATTCTTGCATGTCATGTCCGTACATATGAGACACATCACACAAAATTCACATGCCACTTTCACCATTCATCTAGATTGACAAGTGTCTGCTTTTTTTCAAAGTGTTTTCTGCGGTGTAGGCCCGAGGAATGGAAAGGGGCACATTGCCCATTGCAGGATGGGAAAGCCTTATCGTGCCTATTGTGTTGGTGGAGAGTCTCTACGCCCGCAACTATTATCTAAGAGGGATCTGCATTGAGTACAGACGATGAGAGGGAAAGGGAGAAAGGAATGTCCAAGGAACGGAAAGAAGAATAGTCGTTCGTGTAAGTGTACGTGTATTCATTAGTATTAATTAGGTATTGGTGCTGTACATTTCTTAAGTAACCAACCAAGCTCCAGATAATACAGTGTTCCAGGTATGAGAATGTAGTGATTGAATGGAGAGGTGAGAGGTCTGCCCGTTCTTCCCAGCCCCTTTGCCCTAGCTCCCTGTCCCTTGTGCCTGGTGCCTGGCCTGACCTGACCTGACCTGACCCGAAACGCCGAGGAGGTAACCGAGTACTCAGTAGGTCTAATGACAATTCGATCAGGAGAGCAAGTAACACGCCACTCGCCCGCACCGAGTACCAAGTACTTTGTAGACGCCACCATGTGATAATCGTGGATATTGTTGACATTCTATCGTGCCGAAGATTTTGTTATACAAATTAAGGATGCCAGAGGCTTCCTTCCATAAGGGTGGTGTCTGGCAAAAGCCTAGGATGACTTGATCGGTTTCGTGTATTTGAGCTCCGTGCCCCAGACGTAGTCCCAGAATTTGGATGTCACACCGAACCTGAGAACCATGTTAGCCCATATGTACATTTTATATCGATAGAGAACAAGACTCGATCGCTGTTGCGCAAACTTACCCAAGCTCGAAGTTCTGGTAGTGATGTGCCAGATGATACTTCTTCAAATCCCTCACGTAGGCGGGTAGTTGATGGTGATGCAGCCAGTAATGCGTGCAGTCGTAGCAGACGTAGCCAAAGATGCCACCGCTGAAGACTGTGATGGCGACGTACCAATTGTACCAAAAGACAAAATGAGCGAGTTTGTAGAATGGTGTTGCCAGAATGAGGAACAGTGTCGGCGGCATGACAAGCCGATATTTGTCCATGGGCAGGTAATGATGGATCCCGTGAAGGAGGAAATGCAGGGTGAGGAAGACGGAGTGATCAGGGAGATAGTCGTCAATGTGGAACAGAAAGCGGTGCAGGAGGTATTCCACCAGCGTCCACAAAAACAGACCCAGGCACCAATATGCAACACCCACGGCTGGACTTTCAAGGTTGCTGATTCCGAGGACAGACCCGTAGATGACAGGAGGCAGCCATAGAATCGGCACCACGTACCACGCAGTCTTGCTGAGCGGTTCAAGGAAGTTCCCAAACAATGGCGCAGAGTCACCACCCCGGTAGTGTCGCGGTCGATGGACTTGTTCGAGGTAGAATTCCTTTGAGAACTTGCCAAAGATCATCTGCGGGAAAAGTGGCCGATTCAAATCCAGGAATTTGTGTGTTTTCCAATCTTGGTCCAGATCCGTCTCTTTGGAGAGATCGTCTTCAGACGACATGCCCGTTGACGCGTAGAGCGGTCGGGAGGGGAGGTTCTCGGCCTGCACACCGTTTGCTTTCAGTTGTTCGTTCCCTTCCACTGTGGCAGGTAGCGGGACCACTTGATCTGGACGTGACGAGTCGACTGCGGTCTTAAGAACGGCATCGGTGGGTACGAAACCAATCAGGCTCTCCTCCAGGATCTCATAAGCGGTCTCAGTGTGGAAATGTGAATCTTCATCTTCCAAAATCTTCTTGACATCTTTCCCCCCAAATTCAAGTATCAACTCGCCGCCACCAGGGTGATCGTCGATAAAGTCCGTCACATCGAAGACACGTTCACCGATCGTCACGTAGCACGACTTCCGACTATTATGCTGTTCCACCTCGGCGCGGGTTATTGTAGGGAGCGTCTTGCCCGGCATGTCGAAGGACGGAGAGAAGAGGAGTGAGGAGAGGTTGCTGGCTAGGAGGAACGAGGGACGACGAATGCGTGGAGTGCACGCAGGATTAGAAGAGAGACCTGGGAGTCACAGGCACCAAGGGGAGAGATGCTGACATGAAGCGGACTCCTTGGAATTACAAGTACTTTGTAGGGAAATTTATCAATGTTTGCAGTTTGCGCCTTTTTGCCTCCTGTCAATCTCTTGGTTGGCGGGATCCAGGGGGCTTTGTTCGTGTCTCCAGCGCCCAATGACAGAATCCCGCCGCCTTCCGCTGCCGGAGCCAAGATGGCGGATGGGCACTTCGTTGTCACTCCACCACCATCACCCGTTGATGCCGACATGACGCCAACTAGATTACATAGCCACGTGATGATGATCCACGTGTTATTCACTTAACGCGTCCACTACGGCGGGCTTTTCGATGACGAAGTGCATTTGGATTTTCACAGATGATACACCCAGGAGGAGGCAACACCAATGTCTGCCTAATCTCGACAACCATAAATTCTTCAGACGAAGCCTCGCTCATCTTGTTATCGGACTTGCCATCCTGCAATCTGTGGTACGGTGCACATAATGAAACGGAAGTTTTCTGCCGAAGGGCCCTCTTCCTCCCCGACTCCCATTGACACGGAATCCGATAACACCTCTTCAGCAAAGGAGGAGACAGTCGACCCCGATGATCTCTGTCCCATCTGCCATTGTCTCATTTACAAACCAATCCGAACCAGATGCAACCATACACTTTGCCAGTCGTGTATGGCCTTGTGGGCAGATGTGTCAGTCACGTCCCAGTTAACCGCGGTTGGACTCGACGATGAGGTGGCAGTCATGCTGCCTCACGAGATCGAAACCCGTTGCCCCATGTGTCGGACATTTACCATTTCAACCCTAGACCCTACCAGAGAAAGAGCCCTCCAGCGATTATATCCCGTCTCCTACCAGGCACGTGAGGCCGAGTCCCAAACAGCCGAGGAAGATGGTTCTGCCTCAACCATTGAGACGCTAACCGTTCATATCGGAAACGAACATACAGAAATCAGAGCCGAACAGGGGTCGAATAATAAGCACCATTGGAAGTTCTTTATTCGACCCTCGAGAATTGACTTGATTGAAGAGGTCCAAGTGTTTCTAGTAAGTCCCATTCTGCCTTGCAACCGGGATTCACCAACATGTGACATCAGCATCCTACTTTCAGAAATCCAATCGTCGTTCTTGAATGGCCTCCATACGAGATCAGGCGTCTTGGATGGGGCTATTTTACAATTTACGCCAATATCATCTTAAAGCCTGGCTACAGCTGGGTGAGTCCTGAGGCGGAAGGCACCCGCGACGGCGCACCAAAGGGCAAGTTACCGCTAGAATGGACATTGGACTTCAATGGCCGTGGATCGCAAGCACGGATCAGACTTAAAGTCAGAAAGGAGAAGGAAGGCCAAGAAGCGGAATTAGACATTCAAAGAGAACACGTACGCAGATCTTACGCCCGACAACGAGAAGCAGATCCTGATTGGGAAGAAACGTGACTGGTTAGTGCAATACAAGGCGGAAAAGAACGTGCGTGCTATGATCCGATTCCTTGTGTCCTTTGTTGGGACAATGCGTCTGCGGCCTTGTGTCGCAACAGACGGGCAAAGGCAGTGGCTTCTTGTCTACTGACAGTTCGCCAACTTCTTTTTCCCAAGTCATTGTCCCTTTATCCATCATTGTTCCTATTTACCTGCCGCATTGTCCTTTTGTGTCACATTCACATCATAGTTGATTTTGGTACAATCCAACTAACATCCCTATCCAGAATTATTTCTAAATGTCACTTTCCTTTTTCCAGTCTTAACCGCCTTATATCTATTATGGTTTCCCGTCGTTGCAGTACTACGTAACAGCGTTCGAACATAGAATCCAGTTTGTGCAACACAGGAGTCTGTCATATATCTGACAAGGCTATCCTCTTCATCAAGATGTTGGTGCGAAACTCGGGCACACAACCAGGTGCTGTGATTCCGCTTCGGATGTCCTCGCTTTCTAATGGCTCTACACAATCTCCTTCGCAATGCATCAACACGGACTTTGTCATGTGGCCAGCCCCTGATGGGTGGTACACTCCTGCCCGAGTTTCTTTGCACGAGGACGAGGAGCCGTTCCCAAAATTCCAAGACCCAACCAAATCTCTGATAATCGAACGAACTCTACTTCTGGACACCCTTCGCTCTCGCGCAACATCCGTGTTACATCATGCAAGAGACCATGAGCGGTTGAGATTCGAAGCTCTCTTGTCCCGCGTCGCTCCGTCTGGTCATATAAAACATGATCAAGATTTATCGTATATCAGAGCATCTATTCCAGGAATCCTCGCCTTGGGAGAGAGCTTCCGCGCGCAAAGAAGACTTGGCAACAAAGGCAAGTTGCCCGCAAGCAGAGGATTCCAGACTAACCTTCAGTCGAGTAGCGGAGAATTACAGCCGAAGGATATCTTGAAGGAGAAGATGAAAGAGCGAAGCCGCAAAGGGATACGGCAGGCCTTGATCTATGAAAAGGACTTTTGCATGGGACTCCTCGACCAGCGGACCAATGAAGGCGTGCACCAGCGAGGCCGATCGATCAAGCGCACCCATCCTGGCGCATTTGATCGAGCTAAGGTGACCACTGCACTGGTAATGCTCCGCCAGACTTTCCCGACCCGTTACGAGGCCATTCCTCTTGACCAACCCAAGACCAGTGTGATCTCAGAGGACCAGAAGTCGAGTGGCAAGCTCAACGTGGAAAAGGTAGGTCAACAGGAGTTTTCTCCAGGTGAGAGAGCCGTTTCCGATGCTAATAACGCTGAAGGGCACTCAGGACGCTGGAAATCTACAGATTCAAACGAATCTGTCAAGAAGAAAGCTTCCTCCGTCTTCCGAGGTCTGGTGAGCAAAGTCAGCCGAGGACGGTTCTCGAATGAGAAAGGTAAGGCATCGGGCTCTTCGCCGCCCCATGCACACACTACCAGCCAGCACAAAGTCAGCGGTCACGTGGCTGAGCTCGACAGTTTCCCAGTTGCTCTGAAGATAAATGACACTGTTGCAGCATCGAGCAATTCGTCTGAACCTACCACTGCGGAAGCTGATTCGTCCACAGAAAGAAGAAAACCTCAAACCAAGGAGGTCGTCAGCGAAGCAGGAATAGTACGTAGGAGAGAAAATCGTGTCTCCAGAAGATCGGGGCATCCGAATGCATCGACCGTAGCCAGAACATCGTCCGCTCAAAGATCATCTGCGAAGCCCTCGTCTACAGGAATCACCGGTAACAATGAAGCTCGAGCGACCACCGCCCGGTTGCACCGTCCAGCCCTCCCACCACGCATGATCTCAGTCAAGGCGAGGAACAGAAACACCTTACACAAGCGCCGGCGATCACAAAACTTTGCGGCGAGTAAGGATTAGGCGCCGCAAAAGGCGAGTGCGTCGAATCTGAACCGAGCATCGTCCCATTAGCACGTCAAGGTGAAGGCTCCAAATCGCCAAACTTTCCGCAAGAGCGAGGACAAAGTACTGAGACTGATGGAAAAGGTGGATCAGAAAGTGTCTGGTGAGAATAACACTCGGTGATTCGGCTTGAAGACCTCTCGATAAGGTTGAACAAGGCGGCAACAGTTAGTTGGGGTGCTGGGTAGTATGGGAGTACCTTGACAGTTCAGTTGTAAATCAGCGACTGGGGATAGCAACGGGAAATAAGGTAAGTCGGCGATATTTCCGGTACAAGACGTGACTAAAAACCCTTTAAATCTTAGTATCAGCAAAGTCGTTGTGGATGGTGACATCTCTGTGAGTGGCGGCCGTCAAGCGACAAGGCAGCCCCTGACCACGTAGCCTCGTCGATGACTAAGTCTAATGGCAGGTCAGCCTCCCTGCCTAGCAAGTTGCGCCCTTCTCATTGACAACATGATAGGTCCTGTAGGAATCGACGTCAGTCACAAGGCCCAAGAAAAAGCAATCAAGACTCTAATTGTACCAAACTATGTCTTCACAACCAATGTCAGGTGTTTTTGCCAGCTTCGATTACCAGGGTTCCCTGGACATGGCCGCACCCGCTCAACGTCATCCATATTCTATAGTCACCTTCTTCGGCCTCTGCATCGGTTACAAAGAAGCAATTGCGGGGTTACAACACGCTCTGAACCTGGAGGAGTCCGCGGAGTCTCGGGGCGCGGCTTATACGGAGTCTGGAGAATATGCAGCTTAGATCCACCTCTGAGCATTGAATCTCCAATTCTCAATTTCTCGAAGTGAGTGGCATTTGGTACATCTATCAACCCTTTCCATGAGCACGCACGATGTATTTAGACGCGTGGTATCATGCGGTTCTTGTTTCAACTAGACAGCTAAGCTGCCGTGCCTCCCTTTGTTTTTGGGGACGATGATAACACACTCATCGAGGCAGATATTGTGGTGAAAATATGGCCCCTCAAGCTGTTTCAGATGGAGACCTCACATCCGTTTCCATTTCCTCTGACTATTGAACTTGCTAATGTCCAGTCCTGGATCTGGTCTCCATAGACGGCCATTGAATCTCAGGATCCGCTCCGGGAAGTGGCCTTTTAGCCGTACGATTCAAATGGAACTGTAGCCTCCAGGTACATTGCAACGTCATGAAGCTGGAGAAGATCGGCATCATCCTGCATCGCGGTGCTGATGACCGTGCGGACTCAAAAGGCGGAGTACCCCAGGCTTTTGACCCATGGCCACACTTGACCAGGAGGTGTAGAAGACCTCAAAATGGATCGGTTCTGGGTTTTGATATTGCTTCAGTGCACTCTTCTTGCTGCTCAATCTGTCCAAAACCTCGGTGTTTCGTGCATTGCTAGCTCTCAGGAATGCGGGCCACGGGGAGGTATCGGCGACGGGGCTCATCCTGTATTGAGTCCTCAATCGTTCATTACCGACGCTCTCATTTCTACAGTTTCCAATACGACTCGTCAACTGGCAAGTGGCCCAGCACCGGTCCGCTTGTCAGCATCGCCGAGCAGCTCATCATCATGTCCCCCAAGGCGCCACATCATCATTGACTCTGCCAACGGTGCACAACAGGAAATGGTCGGATTCGGACACGCCTGGACTGACAGCGCGGTGAGCGTGTTCAACACCCTGGACAACGCCACCCTGTCTCGTGTCCTGGAGGATCTTTTCGGGCAAAGTGGCAACAACATGGGCTTTATGCGGCATACCATTGGCTCCTCGGACCTGTCAGGAGAGCAATATACCTACGACGACAACGGGCCCAGCTTCAACGAAGGAGAACCTGACCTCGATCTGTCGAATTTCAGCCTTGGACCGCACGGCACCGGACAGGCCAAGATGATCGCGCAAATGGGCACAGTCAAGGGCGATGTCTTCCTCTTCGGGTCGCCGTGGTCATACCCCGGATGGACAAAATACAATGATCTATTCATTGCGCCAAATCTCAACGTGGACGGCGGCGGAAGCTACAACATTCTCAACAACAGCTTCAATCCGGTGTACATCCCGCAAATGGTGGAATATTTCTCAAAGTACGTCGGTGCGTTTCACGACATGGGTGTTCAAGTCAATGGCATCACGCCGATGAACGAACCGCTCAACTATCAAGGCGGGTATCCTTGCATGCTTCTCGACCCGGTCGATGCAGCAAGCTTGATTGCCCAGGGTCTTGGTCAGGCGATGCATGATCGAGGTGTTATCATCATGGCATATGTAAGTCTCTCTTCTTATTTCTTTGACCTTGTAAAGCTTCAATTTTTTGCTTCGATCCTAGGGCCGACTCTAGTCTCACGTTGCTTGGTATCAGGACCACAATACCGATCAGCCCGTCTATCCTGCACGCGTCATCCAAGGTACAGGCGGCGAGGGCTCTCTTACCGATGCCGCAGCCTGGCATTGCTATGCGGGCCCCGTTGCAAACTACAGCGTGATGTCGGATTTCCACTATGCCTTCCCCAACACCCTGCAATTCATGACAGAGTGTTCCAACTATCTGCCACAGAGTGGTAGCTGGAACTTTGAAGTGGCCGCGAATTTCATTCCGCCAGTGACGCACGGCGCCTCGGCCGCGGCGATGTGGGTTATGGCGACAGACCAGGACTACGGTCCGCATTCACCGTATGGTGGATGTGCCGGTTGCCAGGGGAGTGTGATTGTGAATTCCTCGACGCAATATACCCTCACAAACGATTACTACATGGTGGGCCAGTTTTCGCGCTTCGTCCGTCGAGGCAGCGTCAACTATCGCATCCTGGGCGACGGGAACGAAGGCGACGCCAGACAGGACAACCAGTTCTACACCATGGCGGTGCGCAACCCCGACTCGAGCTGGGCGGTGGTTATGATGAACAACATCGGCAGTGACCAGGATGTAGTGCTCGGGTTCAACAACGGAGAGACGGACGTGTGGCAGGGGACAGTGCCAAATGCGACGGTGGTGACGTGGTTGCTCCCGGCCCAAGGTGTCGGCGCTGAGCCTCCTGCTCCTGATGTTTCTGCCGCTCCCTTGACTAATGTATCGGTATCGATATCGGTATCTGCAACAGCAACGGGGGGTGAACCGGGAGGAGTGTGTCCGACAACGAGCACTTCGTCGAGCTCCAGCTCATCCAGCAGCAGCACGAGTACCCTCGAACTGGTACCAAACACGACGCATACGATTGAATCGCCTGCGCCGACCGGTAGCAACGGCACCGCTACCGCTTGACGGATGAGGGGAACGTGGTAGAAAATTAAATTGATTGTATTGGGAGGGTGTGTGTCCGTCTGTCGGATATGCGGTGTATGTCGATTGGGGGGCTTTATGTAGTGGCTTTAAATAGAAGCACGGGTTGTGCTTGTACCTGACTTGGTGAGTTGAGGTACGAGGTACACAAGGGTCTATGTTGTGCAGCAGGAGAGGTAATACCTAATAGCCGTGCCGAATCCGGGGCTAGGCACTCAAGTGATACCAAGTATCTCTAGGCAACACTTAAAGTACTACACAGGTACTTGTACAGGTACGTCATTAGGCACCCCAGCCCGCTAGCTACTGCTAGGCGTCCCCAGTGTCTAGGCACTTGCCTCGACGGGGCAGCGGTTCAGTTAAGTTCGGCCCAATTACTAGCACAGGTGCTCCCTCAACCTCCCTTCCTCCCTGCCATGCCGCCTATCTGGCCTCCCAACCCGCATTTACGAGTAGTAACCCTCTGCCAGTACCATGGCTTCCATGGCTGAAGCGCTGCTCCCCCTCCAGCACATGCGGGAACTCGGCGGATCTTCGCCAGGCACAAACCCACACGGAGCTTGAAACTTCCACACTCAACCAAACTGGCGACTTGAATTCCATCCAGATCTCCCCCCAAAGCTGTGCGCGTACGCGGCCTTCTTCTCCTCTTGACCTCGCATCGAGTGAGACGAGCAACTCTTCTAGAATGGTGCTGCTGGTCTATAGTTCCCCAGGAACTGCTCGCCTGGTTCGCCGAGGCTGAGAGCATTTGAACTGCCGGTCCGCGAAACCCTTTGACTCCACGTTGACCCGCGATGGCCGATGACCACCAAAGCCCTAGGGCCCCCATGAAGCGGGTGTCGAGAGCATGCACCTTCTGTCGCGCCCGCAAATCCAGATGTGAACTGTAAGCGATCCGTTTATTTTTCTGCTTCGACATTGTCTGCGCATCGATTTCCATGGTCCAACAATAAGAAAAGGACAGGTGGGACCTCTGTCTGCGTCTTTGCGGTCGGCCTGTGTTCCATCGCTTCGTTTGGGTCCGGCTATCTGGAAACCTCTCACAAGCTGCAATAGCCGCCTGTCGGCAACCTCCCAAATAGACCATCAAACTCGTATCGACTTCTGTCCGCGCCAGTCATTGACCCTGATTGATCGTGTAGGGAAGCTTCAGGCGGCCAACCCCCATGCGCAAGATGCAAGAAAGAAAATCGCGAGTGCATCCTGGGGACCTCAAACCGTGGCGGAAGCCGAGTGAGGAAGAAGTTACTTTCCACCACCAGTCTCTCTGGCCTATCTAACCCGCCGACCTTGACGCCCCTTCTCGAGACCGATCCCCATGCCGACACCAGCTCTAGATCCCATTTGCGACCTCCTCCATTTCTGCGACCCTCCCCTCTCCTCGATCGATCCGCGACTGCAGGCTCGGGAAGTGGTGTGGGAGGAATAGCCACTGGCAACAACGCGGTCGACGACGACGACTCGGTATCGACGACAGACAGCACAATCGGAGACACTATACCTAGAAATCCATCAGATGCATGGCAATTATTGAAAGATGTGGCAAACCGGGAGGCAGATCAGTTACACGCGAAAGGAGGAATAAGCCATCAGGATGAGCTATCGAATCAAGATATGCAGAATGGATCGAGACCAGAAGCCAGAGGGTCCATCAATGGCATCCACGCTGGAATCTCGACGTATCGACTGGTCCGTGAAGGCTACCTTACGCCCGAGATAATACAAATGCTAGTAAGACGATTTGCCGAGCACTATCACCCGTACCTTCCCTTGGTCCCGCGCAAATACTTTGATCCTGCTCAACTGGATGTCTTCGCGGTCAATGACAAACACCTGTTGACGGCCGTTATCACCATCTCGTCCAAGGATCTTATCGAACAACCAACGATTCATACCTGCTGCTCTCGCTACATGCATGACCTGATATCGGGAATCGCGGCTGGCCATGATTGCGATGTCGAGGCAGTCGAGGCACTGCTGTTGCTCGCCGAGTGGGAGCCGCAAGGCCTGCGAAATCGGATCGAGGCCGTGGGCAGAGGTGAGGAGGATCGGTCAGCCTGGATGCATGTTGGAATGGCTCTTCGAACAGGCTATTTCCTCGGCCTCGACCGAACCTCATTTCGACAAGAAACCGCCGAGGAAGCGAGGATCGACGGTCGCAAACGTCTAGCTTGGGCCAATTGCTACGTCTCAGACCGATTGATATCGGTGAGGATTGGAAAGGCATTCTGGTCCAGAGGACCTGGGCCCATGACTGGCCTTTCCTCCCAAGACTTTCCCTCGTTACAACCACTGAACCCTGGGGACGAAGATTATGCGAAAATAATGCAAGCAACCTTGGATCTCACTCAGCTCTACTCCAATGTACACGACGTGCTCTACTCGGGCATGCGCACCAGCGGACAGATGATGCTCATGGGAGACTATGTCAAGTATGTCGACGATTTCCGGGCGGCTATTGCGCGCTGGAACACGACATGGGGTAAACTGGAGTGCTCCCCATATATCAAGGTCACGCTGCAGATGGCGTACGAATATCTGTGTTTGTACACCAACGCGTTTGCCTTCCAAGCGGCAATTGCTCAAGCAATTGCCAGCAAACCCAAGAGTGACGCCCATTCACTGAGGGACCATCTCCGAAGTGTGTTCTGTAATGTTGGTGCGATGCCTGACGCACGTTTCATCTGGGCCAGTGTGGCAGCAGCGAAAGCCTACCTGACGCTTCTCAGCACACAAGTGGACCCGAGCAAGTACCTGCGATACATGCCGCTGAGGTATTACCTGTACTGCATTTATTCCGCCGTCTTCTTGTACAAGGCTCGCTCGTTTGGGGTGATGACGGACATGGAAGAACGGCAAGTTCGACAACTGGTGTTTCAGACTATGGAAGTCCTCAAGCGAGCATCTGTATCCGCTCAGGATCCGGGATCCCGCTACGCAAGGTTATTGGAACTGCTCTGGATCAAACCGCAGAAGCCACCCTCGCAATTGCCTCCTCCGATGCAATCTCCCGCAGCATCCGAGGGTCCATTGTCGTCGAGTGGCAGTGTTCATGTCGACGCTCAAGGGTATATGCAGTTCAGTCCGGCTAATGACTTCTCGTGGCTGGACCTCGAGGCAGTCGGCGATTACGTCTCTGGCGACCCGATAACAGGCAATGGGATGAACATGCTTGCTCCGATGATGGGGTTCGAGTCAACGTCGAACTTCATGCCTCAGTCGCAGACTCAAGGGATGCAGTGGCAGCAGACCAACAACTCGATGAATTGGCCAGTGGACTGGAATGGCAACTTGTTCTTCTGAGTTCTTCTCCCACCGGCGTGGAGTTGGCCCCCATGCACAACTGCGCTGTTCTATCCGCTTCAGGCTAATGTCGGCGTTTGGGGGCAGACGCCGACGCGTGGGTGGCTCTTGGACTTCCCCGCACCATCCACCACGATCTGCCCGACTGATTCGGCGCAGTCACCGCGGCTGCAACATTTCGTCCTTCTGTGGAGGATCATTGAGCGCTCACGAGCCCAGCTTCGTATCCAGGGATGAGTACAAGACAACGACTGTCTCAATTGACCTCTCACACCAACAATTCCCAGACATCAGGAATAAGTCGAGCTTCACCCAGCATGTCCGTCGACAACGAAATCAAAGGCAGGCTCGCTCTGATTACGGGTGCATCAGGAGGGTACGTCGCAGCTTACATTTTCCGAGGCTTCGCACCCACCTTGACTGACAAGAACAGGATTGGTGCTGGCTGCGCACGAGACCTATACCGGAACGGCTGCCACCTCGCTCTCACATATTCGAAAAACAAGGCCAATGTCGACAACCTGATCACCGAGCTCCAGGGCGACTCAGCCTCCTCCGAACTGAAGATCTCCTCACACCAAGTGGATATGGCATCGACAGAAGACATGGAAAGACTGTATAAAGAGATTGAATCACAACATGGCCATGGTCCTGACATTCTGGTCGCCAATGCAGGATATGGGAAGCGTGTGCCTCAAATAGTGGACATCACGTATGAAGAGTTCGACTATACGATCCTGATAAACCTGCGCGCACCTTTTGTTCTTGCCAAATTAGCCGTTCCACACATGGCACAGCAGAAATGGGGACGCATCATCATGATGTCGAGCATAGCTGGCTATGGGGGTGGCATCAACGGCTGCCACTATGCCGCCTCAAAAGCCGGCCTGACAGGGATGATGAAGAATCTAGCCATCAAGCTCGCCAAGGACGGGATCACGGTGAACGATGTCGCCCCAGCCATGATAGGTGAGACAGGAATGATTCCTGACGCGAAGTTCCTCGAGGGCACACCTGGAGATGTGAGGAACATTCCGGTGGGCAGGCTGGGCACGCCCCAGGAGTGTGCGAATGTGGTAACCATGCTGTGCAGGACGGGGTATTTGACTGGGCAGAGTATCTTGTTGAGTGGAGGATTGAAATGAGTGTAGCGACCAAGTATTGATGTACTTTTGAAAAACACATCTGAGACTAGAATATTTTCAGTGCTCAACCGCAGTGGGGAGCTGTATGAATCTAGGGACATGGATACATCTCCGTCCCACTCTCGAGCCTTGTCTGAGAGGCTACGAGCGGTTATGCAGGGCAATTTTGCCTTTTGTCCCTCCCCCTACCAGAAGAAGAGGAGTAGAAACCCTTTCCTCTTTTTTGGCCACAAAAATGTACAGTGTTTCCGCCCACGATTTCCGTGACGCCCAATTTGATCCATTTCGATCGGGATGACTGGGTCCATCACCACCTTTTGTTTGTCCTCCGTATCAACCAAGACCTTTCCTGTGTCTAAGGGGGTAGAAACTACCTCGACCCAGGCCTGATGATGGGTCCTTTCCCGCCAACTCTGGCCGGGCTAGTGCCAGCGCTGGTGGCGGTACCCTCGACCCCCTCCTGCGCAGCCCCGCCAGGCATGGCGTCCTTCCTGGTGTCGGTGCCGGCAAAGACCCGCTTGGCCGCGGTCGTGGAGGTCGTCGACTTTGATTTTGACTTTTGCGTCGTGGTGCCCACGTACGTCCTGCTCTTCTGGGCGTCGCGCACCACGGCGGTGGCGCCTTCAGTCTCGGACGTCGTCGAGCTGATTTCCACGTTTGCCGGGCTGACTTCGAGGGGGTTGAACGGCGCGTTTGACGGCGGTGTCGGCGCCTCGTTCGACGTCCCCGTGGTAGTTGTTTTTGTGGCGGCGCTAGTCGAGTTCTGGATCTGGACCTGCTGCCCCGCCGCTGCCTGGGCGATGGACCGCGCCGGGTCCGCGGTCGCGGTGCTGTCGGGCGAAAAGGACACGGGCTGCGACGCCACGGCGTCGTCCGTCCCGGATTTGCTGTACTCGCTCGGTTGGCGGTCGATGCGGGTCCGGTCCTGTTGCGCGGAGCGCTGCGATTGGATGTCTTGCTGGCATTGCGTTGTAGAGGCGGAGGAAGCAGAGGACGTGGAGGAAGGGGAGGTGGGGGAAGAGGATGAGGATTGATGGCGGATGCTGGCACAAGGCCAAGTCCGAGAATATGTGATGGTTTGTGCACGAGGTGTACCTCTAGGGTGAGGTCTAGTATGTATGGTGGTACTCCTCCTCGTTAGACTCGAGGCGGAGAGGCGGAGAGGGTTCATGGTTCTTGGGTGTCCCGTTGGTGCTGTGTAGTAGTCCAGTATTCTCGACTGATGGGACGGAGTGGGTGTAATCCAATGTATTCGGTTTGGATTGGTTTTGGGTCGTGAATGATTTTTGGTTCCAAATCACAGTCACAGTGTGCACATAGAATAGATCATAAGACTCACCCAGGCTATAAAGGGCAGGGCATGTACTGGTATATATGTCTAGCGGATGTAGGTATAGGATCGGCATTGGTGATTGGCGCCCCCGTCAACCTGTTGAGTATTTTTCTGATATCATCCTGACGTGGGTGGCCAAAGTTGTGCCTGACACCCGATTCCATCCCAATCCACCCCCGGATTTCATTCCCCTTGTCTCACAACCTCTAAGAATCGTCGGATTTAGCCCCCATCTACCTCGTACAGAATCCCCCGCGTCTGGCCACTAGAGGATCGCCATGTGTCGCCTCCACCTTCCGAAGTCGCCTTGCACCAGAAGAACAGCGCCCAACACGAGATATTCAGCCTCACCAGGCAGACTTTCGACAGGCCTCTCGCCGTACTTCACCTCAGAGTCCTATTAATATTATCCAGGTAATCTCCCCCTGGTGGACGAGGCTCGACCTCTGTTGGAATCGCATCCCTCTGCCGATTGTCAAAACTGAAACAGAATGTCTGACCCTCTCTCAGCAACAAGCAGTGTAATAGGCGTCGTCTCATTAGGCCTGGTCGTCTGCCAGGGCTTGGCTACCTACTTTTCCACCTACAAAGGTCAAGACCAATATCTCGACAGTCTCACCCAAAGAGCCGAAAACCTCCAAGGGTGTCTCACCTTGTTACAACATGCTCTCCCACTATGGACGGTGCGGTTTTCCGACACAGCCCCCCACATCGAACAGCATATCACCGCGTGCCAGGCCAGCATCGTGGTTTTGAGCAGTAAGCTTTCTGGATTCAAGCGGACGCAAGGACCTTCGTTGCACAGAGACAAGCTGCGCTATGTCGCACACAAGGCAGCCTTTCCATTCACAAAGGCCACTATCACAGAGCTATCGGGCATACTTGATGGTTTACAGGAAAACTTGAACACGGTCCTCTGCATTGTCGGGCTGTAAGTCCAAAATAAAAAACACCCCATTCACTCCCGGCACTGATGACCACAAAGGGAAGCATCCTCCATCCTAGTCAAGACCCAGGATGTGACAAACACAAAGATTGATGCCGTTTTATCCGCTTCGGACGTCATGACTGCTCGCATCCAGAGCGCTAGCCATGACCTCTCGTCTCTGCGGGCTGAAATGTCGACGATCCAAAACGACCTTCAAGCAGTGAAATCAATTCTTGGACCAGGCGTGCCTACACTTATTCAGCGGACTGATGGCCCGAGTCCGAATGCAAACCCCCAGAACTGGCAGCGACGGGGGTTGGAAATACGGCAGGTTCAATCCCAGCACCTACCAACACTAACTCCTCCCACCGGAACTTCTCTTCATGCCTTGCCTGGACGTCCGACTTGTTCAACCACACACACCTCAAAATGGTCCAATTCCTACATCTGTCTATGCCTCAGGACCAAAACTCGTCGACCCACTAGGTCCAAGGTGCTGTTCGTCGACTATTTCCAAACCCAGGAGCATGAAGAGGATTGCCCTTACTATCTTCCAGGCGCCAAGAGGAGAAAAATAGACATCTGGATATCCTTTCGCTCGGTGCTGATCTCTCGTGGTGTTCGATGCATGGTGTCCTTGGCCACTGGCTCGGCTGGAGGAATCAGTGCAAACATTGACTGGATTCCAGTTGTTTCCTATGAGACTTCTCCTGCTGTACAATTAATCCGGAAAGTATGTGGAATGCTTCCACGTAGTGTAGAGCCGAATGTTCTTGTGGATAATGCCCGTGTTGAACTGATGGGCCTCTTCGCACGACGGAGAGCACACCCGAGAGAGGTCGATCAAGTTGGAAATAGTCTCCTGGGGGTGAGTGTATTCATGGCCAACACGATCAACCCCTTGCTAAATTACAGCGCAGTATGCAATCAGTCTAGCCGCTTGGGTATCAGGTCAGAGACAAGGTACGAACCACGACTTTTTTTTGGTATTTTCCAATACCTCTCTGTCGCCTAGGAGCAACGAGATCACTTGTTTCGAGAGATTTCGCATTTAGATTCGAGGTTGAAAATATTCGCATTTGTACTGATCATTTTTGCGCCGCCGAAACAGACGCGACCTTTCAATCTTTTTGCCGCCTCTTATACTCGCTTGCCTCTTTGGGTGCCAAAGCAAACCTTGAAGACTTTATTGAGTAAGCCAGCGGATTTCTTCCCCGTGTCCTACAAACCTTGCCTGAGAATGTATGCAGAGGATTCACGCTGTTCGGCCGTACGAGCGCAGAGTTTGGGGCGCTCACGGAGGATTTGAGCCAGAGGGGAGCTCTCGAAGTTCTATCAGACAAGGGCAAAATAAAAATGGTCAACAAGCTGGTTGGCTGTCCACAGTGGTATCATGGTATGCTGCTCAAGACATGATTATTGAGAATATGATAAATTGCTAAGCTTTCAGTGCTGGAAAACGGACCATTGGGCCAGGCGATTCTGCGACGAAACCCAGAAGAGGCCATTCGCCTGCTCCAGCAAAAACCATCTATTATTGGAGAGTTGAATGATTGGGGCCACTCCCTTGTGCACCTCAGTATCGACTGGCCCCTAGGTCTGGTTATCCTCCTCAAATATGGAGCTTCTTCATTGATCAATGTGGAGGACAACAATGGAGCTAGACCAATGAAGCTAGCGATGCAGCTCTCAGAAATTGCAGCCATGATATTGATAGCGGCAGGATCTGGGCTTGATGACGATGCTCTTGAGGACTTCATGCTGTGTGATCGCTTCAAGGGGGGTTCGCAAGAACTCTTTGTTGTTGCCGTCGAGGGACTTGTTTATCGAAGAAAGCAGCTTCAGCAAATAGCAGTGTCGCATTTGCCTCTATACAAGCTCTCATTCGCCGCCGACGCACTCAAAGTTTTGGATGAGCAAGCCGTTGAGGTGTCCACTGCACTTGAAGAGTCCGGTATCAGGATTCCAGGAGCTCTGTCCACTCCCAAGCGACAGACAACCATATATCACAGCCTGCGCGTCCGTGCCGGACTTGCACAGAAATTTTTCAACAATGATTTCGAGGATATTGACGGGCGTGACTACCGAGGCTATACGCCTCTTATGGGGATATATAGGTGGTGCAGCGGACCTCTGACCCTCCAATATGCTCAATGGCTCTATGATCGCGGCGCCAGTTTGCTTTGCCAATTTCCTACATGCACGAATAGCAACTGCGAGGAGACAGATGAGCATCAGAGGCCAACTGCGCTCAGAGCAATCCATACGGCAGCATTCATGCTCGGGCGGACACTCTTCGACTTCCGGTGGAATGTGTTGGACTTAAACTCTACTTGTGCGACAGACTGTTTCGAGCTTCTTTCGACTATTGTCTCCTCCAACGTGTCCGACGGCTGTTCCTGTGCTTGTTCTAGCCAAGGATGTATTCCGGTTCTGAATTTATTGAGCAATCCCAGTCCAGTCAATGGGCATCATTCAAGCTATTGGTTCTTGCGGTGGCTGGACTTATATTTCCCGTATGATTTTCCTCGACTGTTTCTGAAAGTTCTGAGACTGTACACTTTTCAGAGTCTCGGCCTGACGCACACCTGTTGCCGAAATGGCTGTCTTCGGTATGCCGGTCGGTGTCATGACCCCTCCCAAAAACCCTGCCCGTTTTCGATCCCTGTTGATGACGAGATTCAAGAGATTCAGGACGAAGAAAGACATCTGATATCTCTTCTTGAAACACTTATGGTGGAGTTCACGGAACAGTGGCTATGGCCGACGTCAGACTGGAAGGTGGACGAGTTCATGTCCAAGGTTTGGCGGCCTAGATTGAGACAGATTCGACAAGAAAGAGTACAAATGTTCGTGGGGGACCAGGCACAAATGCGCTACATGGGCGTCGAGCTGCATTCCGACGGCGAGGACTCTTTGACTAAGGATAGAGATGAAGATGATCGTTACGCTCAATATGAGCCTAACACATGGGAGGATTTTTACTGGAGAGAACAGCCTCCGCCAAACGCAGCAGCTGAGAATGCAGCCCGAAAAATCCAGTCCGAAAGCGACCTTCGAGAGATTAGAGTCTTCTTCACCGATGTTGAAGTCGCGGAAATCCTCAAGGCAGCTGCCCGAGAAAACGGAATTGAAGATTACGACGCCTGGTTCAGCATAATTGAAAAGCTTGATGCGCGGCAAAATGAGGGTGTTTAATCCGCTAGTCCATCGTCCCGACAACTTGACGTTTGTTACGAAGAGCTTCGAAAGATCACGGGCAACACTAGGAAGAGGCGATCAAGGGCATGTCATTGTCTGAACGAACCGCCGACTTCAAGCATATGGAGCAGCCAGGAAGATTGGAAATGCTTCAAGGTCGATTAGGAGTTGGCGAACGTATTGATGTTCAGCCTGATGAGGACGGTCGGCGTCCTTGGTATATGGACCCTGTCCTCTCACGACTCTCGATGATACAGGTTTGAGTCGACGGGCGGACGGACAAGTCCCTTTCCTTTCGTCTGGAACACGGCATGGCAGATTTACAGATATAGAGGGGAAGAGGTGTAGTGGATCATGAATGATGAACTCTTTGCAGATGAACAGCTTCAGAGATATTCTGCTTTCTGCGTGCATATCAGATACCTGTCGCTGTTTGTCTTTGGCTCTTCTTCTGCTGCCTCTCGTTCCCTACAAGGAGGGCCTGCTTGACCTGCCTAGCCTGACCTAGTTTTACCTGACCTTTCATCATGGCGCTGTGCTGTGATATGCTGTGCTTTGCTTTACCAGCTTAATATCTGGCCTTCAAACCCTCAATACAGCCGACTCTGTCGCTTTCACATGTTACTTAGCACGGTGTGGCCGCTGTCAAGCAAGACCTTCGCTCCAAATTTCTGGGCCGGGGATAGTGTCTAGGACCAGCTTCAGGCGTCACTTTTTGCTCTGGGCAGGGAGATACCCTCAATCCTGGGATATCTCGAGAAGTGTCTCTACTTGCACACGAAATAATTCTCCTGCAGCGCGTCGTGCAGGCGACCAAACACGCCGCCGTGCCAGGTCTTGAAATCGTCAAACTCCTCGCGCGGCATGGTGGCCGAGAGCATATTCAGCCAGCCACCCACGATCAGGTCGGCGTAGTTTGCCTTGTCGCCCTCGAGGTAGGGCCCGGCGTCGTGGACCGCGAACCGCTGGGCAAGCGAGGTCAGGGCGACGTTGAACCCGGCCAGGAACTGCACGCGCGCCTCGCCCTCGATGCGGATGTCGTCCCACGAGCTGAGGTGGGCGCGCTTGGCGAAGAGGGCCTTGGTGGCCTCGGCCGTTTCCGGGTTGAAGGGGAGCTGGTGGGCGACCAGCACGACGTGGGCCGAAAAGGTCGCGTCGACGTGCACGTTGAAGGTGGCGTACGCCTCGTTCTTGGCCCCCTTGCGCGTCGTCAGCGGCGCGTAAAAGGCCGTGTCCTTGAACGGGCTCTCGTAGTCGAGCCCCGTGCCCGTCGTGTCCGCGGGGAACAGACACCCGCCTGACTGTGGGAACGTGTCTTCGAGGTAGTTGGCGATGTCGAACGAGTCTCCTACTACCTTTCCCAAAACCGGTTCCCGCAGCATGGGCAGCGTGTAGAAGTCAGTACCGTCGTCGAACTGACGGACTGCCGCGCAGCCGAGCCCCTTCCGCACGTCGGCGATGTCGAGGATGTCGACCCACGTCGTGGTGAAGGGGACGCCCTTGAAGCTGAGCGCGAGTCGGGACTTGGAGGGGTTGGGTGCGTAGGAGCGCGGTTGGCGGGTGGAAGAGATGTCGTAGAGGACGAGGGGGTTTGAGTCTGTCATTTTGGAGGCGAGGCGGGGTGAGGCTTTGAGAGATCTGAAGTGTCTGCGTTCCCTTATTCCATGAGGTCGATAAAGCATTTACTCTGAATGGCCAACAATGCCGAGTGAATTCTTGGCATTGAACCATCGACCAATCAGAGGGAGAACTACCTACAACCTTCTCACTAGGGCCCTCGAGGAGGCCTTCCACAACCTCTTTATCTCTATCTTTCAGGACAGTCTCTTACTCCGATGGTTTCTGAGTCTAGTATAGTGTAGCTAAGGTCCTAGATGAAATCTTTATTAGTTTAAATCATCTTCATGGGCTTGATGGCGGGTGAGAACCGTTGCCAAGACTTTATCATTGGTCACGTGGGGGATGACTAGAGTAAAGCAGGATGTGGATTAACCCCAAAGCAGTATGCCCTTGCCGCTCGAAATGAAGCCTAGTGACTCGGTACACAAGATCCGACTGGCATCAGGCTGGATTTCGAACCAACACCTCTTCCTTCCTAATCATCAACCATGCACGTCATGCTTGTTGTTGTTCTGCCTCTTCAGCAAATTTCGATTATAACAAAAGCTGTGCATCCCCCTTCATCAATCCTGTGAGCACCCCGAACGCCGCTGGGGTCCCCAGCCCTGCCGCCTGCCTGCCCAGCAGCCTCATCTTCACAACTTTCCCCTGGCCAGATAATTGGAATCTTTAGACAATTCCACAACACTTGAGATTCTGATGCTATATTCGCTCAACTCCTTGACGCCAGCGGCAAAGATTTGACAACATGGCGTTGGCCTCCCGCTTCTTTTTCCCCCTAGGGCCAGAGCACAGACTGGCCCAGGCGGTCTGCGAGTATGAAGCTATTCTGCAAGCCAGCGAAAAGACAGTCTTCCGCTCACTACGTTCAGACAGGCCGCCCGGTTTATCTGATGTGATGGAAATCACTGCTGCTGTTGACCGCAATATAAAAGGTCGCCGTTGCTTCGGACCCCGCCTCACTAGTATTCTAGAGTCGGTTCAACAGTTCTCGACAATAGTCAACGCTGTTGTCGGCAGCTCTCGGTATACACTTGCAAACGCAATCTGGAGCGTCTTGAGGACGACTTTGCTAATCACGTCAACATTTGGAACGTATTTCGATAGATTATCTGCCCTGTTCATGAGGATTCGAATACACTCCCCCCAATACCAGGAATGCGGTCTGCTATATTCAAGGTCCCTCCCAATACAAGATGCGCTTTCTGAGTACTTCTGCGCAATCTTTGATTTGTGCACAAAGGCCATTCTCTTCCTCCGAAAACCTCCCATTGCTCAATTGACATCAACCATTCTCAACAGTTTTCAAGCCGAGTTTGGCCCTCTGGAAGCCCAAATTGCAAAGTTGGCGAGGTTGTATGGGAAGACAGTCTTCCTGGCAACTCAGGAAGAGGTACGAGATGAAAGCAAGACGGCCTGGAGTTTTCGAAATCCTTTTTCAGGCGCACAGGTTGCGCGCCAGAAAAAGCTGCAATTCCTTGATGCTTGTTCAACCTTCGCCAATATAGGTCATGGAAGCAAGCACAAAAATTGGGGATATGCTCTTGGATCTTCGACCAACCTGCTTATAGGCAGTGAACTCAAGAATCGTCGTCGGGTGTGCTGTGGTGTACCGGCGGGCCCGGATCAGGCAAAACGGTATCCACTGCAAATCTAGTGCGACAATTGCATATCGACAATCCTGAAGCTATTATCGGCTTCTTCTTCTGCAGCTACGATGACGCAAAATCGATGAAGGCTAGGACCATACTTGGTAGCCTGGCGAGGCAGCTTCTGAGAGAGACACGCCCAGAGGCCTTTGATTCGATTGAGATTGATGGTTCGAAGACATTGGATGAGGATGAGATTATTTCGAACCTCGTTCCTCTGCTCGCATCCACGAGTTGCGCATATTTTGCTGTCGTCGATGGAATAGACGACTGTGCCGAGGGGGAACTATGTAGGCTTTTACGAAGCCTCCACATTGCTCCACTCAATACACCGCTTTCGCATATTCTGCTCAAGTCAGCCCAATACGAAACGCAAATATCGGGCTATTCTTCAACCGCAACGCGAACTTTGGCTGTCATCTCCAAGATACGAAATCGAAAGCTTTATTAACAACGCGTTGGAGGAACGTCTTGCACTAGGTAGCCTCACTTTGGATGACCCGAGCATTATCCTAAAGATTAGGAAGGCTCTACTCGAAGGAAGCGAGGGAACGTGGGTGTTTAGTTCCATACATAAAAGATTGTGCTGATCATAATAGGTTTCTTTGGACTGCACTACAGCTCGACTCTACATGCGCCGAGGCGTCGGATAAGGGGATTCTGACTGCTCTTCAGTCGTTACCGAAAGACTTACCACGTGTTTTTGAACACATTTTGCAAAAGTTATCTGAAAAGTATCCCGAATTCGTCCAGATTACACGGAAAACCTTCACCCTTGTTGCCGCAGCTCAGCGGCCACTGACAGTCCAGGAACTCCGCGAGGCTGTGAGCATTTTGCCGGGAGACACGCGGGGTCCCGGATTGCCGCACGACATGAGAAGTGTCTTGGGTAAATGTGGAGGCCTGCTCATTGTTGACGAGGAAGATGACACTGTTCGATTTGCTCACCCTAGTGTCCGACAGTATCTTACCCTCACTTCCGAACACACAACAAAAAGCCAGTTCCATGTGGATTTACGTGAAGCGGATATCACCATGGGGGAGATCTGCGTCACTCATCTCCACCCAGCCTTTTTCGAAAGTGGATATGTCACGAGCAACAGTCGTTGGTGGATAAAGTCATCTGCAAAAGCTTCTACTATTGTTCTCCCTGGCCTGCCCTCTGAAATAGTCGCCCGGCATTCGCAGACACTTTTGAAACGTAACAGGAAGCCGGACTTCGATGCGGGGCGTTACCTTGAAGAAGCAGATGGACATGCAATTCCTAAGCGAGAACTATGGACGCATGCGTTTCTTCCTTATGCAAGGGAATTCTGGTTGTTTCACACAAAATCCTTCGAAGAAAACAAGCAAGTCTCGTACCGCTTGTGGTACCAATTCATACGTTTCCAAACCCTGCGAGTCACACTCCCTTGGGCACCTGAAGCGTGGTTTCGTCGAGACAAAAGTCTTCTCGAATGGACGGTCGATAATGAACAAGGCGCCATCCTCAATCTCATCATCACAGAACTCGAAGAATATTCAGAGGTTGAGCGTGTGTGGCAGGTGCTACTTGCGAAAGGGGTGTACCTCGGATTAGACGGCTTACATGGTAGCGCCACATTGCAGCGAGCTGTCAGTTCTATAACTGCCAAAATGGTACCAGAATTATTCGAACGTATGCTCGAACGTCCCACGAACCTGGACCCTCGAAGTGCTCCTTTGTGGTGGGCAGCTCAACAGAGAGACGAGCTTTTCAGATTGGTGCTCAGTCAGGAAAACCGCCGAGTCAACTGTACAGATCCAGGAGGGAGGTCGGCTTTACCATGGGCGGCTCAGACGGGACGGCGTGATATTGTAGTGCAGTTACTGGAACAGGACGACATCAATGCAAATTCGAGTGATGAAAACGGCCGCACCCCCCTGTCGTTTGCGGTTGAGAACGTCGGTTCTCAGGTAGCCACGCTCCTGCTAATGCGACCTGATATTGATTTCGATGCAAAAGATCGCTATGGGCGGACTGCACTGTCGAGGGCTGCCGAATGTGACAATCAGAACGTGGTCAAGTTACTTCTCGACCACGATAGTGCTGTTGCCGAGTCTCAGGATCTGGAGGGGAGAACACCTTTGTCGTGGGCAGCCGGGAAGGGGCACGAAGCAACAGCTCGATTGCTCATCTCTCATGGAGCCAAAGTGGACTCGGTTGACGGACTGGGACAGTCACCACTCTCGTGGGCAGTCGAATATGGCCACTACAACATAGCGAAACTTCTTGTGTTGGAAGGGAAGGCCAACCCGCACCTTGAAGACTATCGTGTTCGCACACCGCTATTGCTGGCTGTTGAGAACGGACACGCGGAGATTGTCGAGGTTTTTCTTGAAGCCCACAGAGCTAACACGATATCCCTCAGCGATCACGGCAAAGAGCTACTCATGCTGGCCGCGATCCGAGCTGGACATCAGGCGATTATCCAATTACTGCTGCATGAATGGGGAACTCCCGGTTCCTCTGGGGCGACTGCTCTGCAGACAGCATTGTCTTATGGACACACTGACATTTCTAAACTTTTGCTAGCTCGGTACTCGGATTGGGTCGCGAAAGAGAAGTTTGAATGGCTCGGAGCACTTATAGACGCCGGATTTGAGCCCGACGATAGCCTGGCGCTGCTTCTCGAAACTGAATCACCCGAGCCGTGGGTCAAATATGGGTTGCCCGACACCGAGACGATGGAACTCGTCTCCATTGATGCGAATGAAAGGGTGGACTTCCACCATGTGTCATGCGCTCACAAGGAGAGTTCCGGTGGTGGATTTGCCTATGACCAACTGGCTAATCCGACTACTTTCCACATGAGACGGGAACTGGTGCAAAGGGTTATTGCCGCGTGTGGGCTTGCAGGAGTGCTGCCTCCCTTGAGGTATTTGGATTGTCCGCCCAACAAAATCGTCCCCATTTTGCAGGCGCCGCCACAGCACTCGGGTCGCTCACTCGAGGACGCCAATGAGGCTTTTAGCCAGGTCGAGTTCGAGGAAAACGAGGCCACAATTGTCTACGCCCACAGCTACGAATGGGCTGGAACCCCAGGTGATATTGAAGACACGGTGAGTTCATGCCCTTACAGGACGCAAGTGCCTACTTATGAGTCGCAAGTATTCGATAACAGACTCGATGGATTACACCCGCCGGTTCAGGCACTCCGTAGGATTCGGGCGTCAGGTTGTTGCTTTCAGGCGTGAAATCGAACGTCTAAAATGGGAAGCAGATCATCCGTGGTCGTACCCACAACTCACAGCCCACCTATATAGGGCTGTCGCGAGATTGCGCACAGCAGCAAACCTCCTGCAAAGTGCTGGGTTTTGCTGCAATTCATTCACAATCCTTTGAGAGAGTGGATTCCCTGTCGATGACACGCTTAAGAGCCCTGTAATCAGAATGACCACAGTCTCATTCGAGACCTTGGAAAGCCTGATGACCTCTATGGCAGACATAATAAAGGACTCGGAGCCTGAGAAGGCTAGCATTGACCTAGAAAATGCTACTTCCACATGTGTCGATGTGTTGAGAAGCTGTCTAGGTGGACAATATCTCGACATCAGAACAGCCGGTCAGAAACTCCACACTTGCTCCCTGGTCGTGCAGATGCTCAGTTTGGCGCTTCTGTCCTACGCTCAAGGTCATACCGGAGAACTACACCCGGCGTTCCTCAAGCAGCCGTTGACGAAGATCAAGCTCCAAGGAAGCTTGGTGAGTGATATATCCATTTTTGCCGAGCTGCGACCGTTAGCTTGCATGCGTTCAATGATAGGCGGAGATGTTCTTGTCTTTAAGATTGCGTCAAGGCCGCAGGCCACTCCGTCAGCCTCGACATCGCCAGCATATTTATACGCAACATGTGCCGAGATCGTGGATACTTGGGGGCCAGCTCATGTCATCAGATCCCCTAAGTCGTCAGATTCAATGGAAATCTATGGCCTCATGATCGGAGGAGGCCTCATCAAATCCAGCAATTCTCTACCCTCAGGACTTGACCTCTTTCACTGGTATCAAGATGACGAAGGTCTAGGAGCAGAGCCCAAACCGTTTAGTTACCAGGAGGCTATCCTTGTTGGGGCCGTCACTGTCAACCCAGCTTGTCCTCTTGATGCTCAAGGGAGCCGCAGGCTCTCTGAAAAATTCCTGCAAAATCTAGGAACGGCTCGAGACACTTGGGTTCCGCATGAGATTCCTCTAATGTTACAAGGAGGGAACTTTGCGGTCGCTCAGGTGGGTCTTACGTACCAGAAACATGCCGGAAGAACTCTGAAAAAGGAGCTCCTCGATCGCTGGAATGATTTCGAGGACATTCGGCTTTTCGACTTGCCATGGGGCCTCCAGCTCAGCCTCTGTACAGGAGTCGCTCGCAGGGTGCGCCTACGAGAGTTGATCGAGGAACCGGTCATCCGATTCATCGACAGTCTCCATGTGGATGGGTGGACAGCATTGAAGCCTACGGCCTTAACAGGTCTAAGATCCAACGATTTTCTTCAGTGGTGCAACGGACTCGAGGACGATGAGAGGGTTTGCCTGAGGTCAGTGTTTAGCAAGTTGCTCAAGCTATTCGAACACACGGGGTTCGACACGAATGGCAACACCTTTGGAGTCCTATGGCCCGAGCAGTCAAACCCATATCTAGGGATCAAAATCTCTCCTGTCAACTCGCAGCTGTGGTACCGTATGTTGAAGGATTCGGAATGCTGCGCGACTTTTGCCATTGTGACTTCTCTGTGTTTGGAGACATCGAAACACAAATGTCAGAAGAAGCGGGAGCTGCTCTGGCATCAGGGAGGGACGGTCCTGTCGACGTCAGTATGTCCAGCGCTTCCAACCCTCTTGCCAGCCATTCAGACTACCGCCAATCTATCCAGGTGGCAGTTGGAGCACAAGGAGCAATATTGGATTGGAAGATGCGGAGGTGACGTGTGGGTACGTGTTCGCAAGGAGCCAAACCGTGCCACGGAACTGCAGCTCATGCGCAGGTTTCGCAACTTTCCTTTCTACCTGTTTCGGAACCAGGTGTTGAGAGAGAAGCCCGATGTCAACTTCCACACCGAGGAAGTCTTTGTCCTCACGGGCAGCTGATGGATCTAAGTTATGCAGGTCGATGAGGAATGTTCTGGCGACAACAACCGCGTCCTATGTTATCACAATCCTACACCGGGCCTCATTACGAATAACGAATGGAAGGGTTCATTAATATAACTTGGATGCAAGGATCCGAGGGGAAATGTGTTGCGAAACAGCGTTCTTGGTGTTAACAAGCGCATTGATGTTCATGACGAATTAATGACCCAAATGACCCAGGAAAATGAAATGTAAGTTTGATTTGAATCAGCTTTATAGCTTTTTTGGCTCCAACAGATTCGTTCCGGTGGAAAAGTGAAATTGCCACATGGCGTCGACGGGTAATTATGATCTTTGTTATGTTCAAGCATATCTGGAAGCATATCTCTTAGTGCACGACCTCAACTGCTGTGGCTCGGCCTTTGCGATCCGACTGGCCCACATCTCCCCCCTACCATCCACCATCCACCATCCGAAAAGTAAACGCGTTTGAATGCCGCTCTTCTACTCTTCTTTCTTGTTCTTTTGGCTGTTTCTCGCGTCTTGATCGATCATCAGTCAAGAAGAGTCGATTCGACATGGTTGCCACGCCGTTGGACGAAGAGAAGATGGAGAAGGACGACTCCATCGCCGAAGAGAAGGATGGCCAGGACCATATTCCAGAGGCGAATGGCCACCTTAGAGAGAAACACAGCCAGGACAGCGTCGAGGTCGAACGCTTAGGGGCAGACGCGGACAATGACGACGATTCCGGGGATGAAGAAGAACCACCCGTCGTCATAGAACGGGTCTTTAGCAGACGGAGCATGGCCAGCGACCATCCTCACCAACACCAACACCACCACCAACCACTGACCGATCTGGATCACGGCATCGTGGGCTGGGACGGGCCCGACGACCCGGAGAACCCTCTGAATTTTCCCCGGCCCCGGAAATGGGCTCTGTTGGGTCTGGTGTCGGCCATCACCTTCGTCTCACCTTTGGCCTCGAGCATGTTCGCCCCCGCCGTAGGCTTTTTGGGTCAGGATTTTGGTGTCCACCAGGAGCTGGTGCTCTCTTTTACCGTGAGCGTCTATCTCTTGGGGTATGTGGTAAGTTTTCTTCCCCTTTTCGTCCCCCGAGAGAAGCAGGTTCTGGACACCGGCACTGACACTGACACACCACGTACAGTTTGGTCCGTTGGTCTTGGCCCCGTTGAGCGAAATCTATGGCCGTCGCATCGTCCTCTGCGGCGCCAATATCTTCTTCGTCGTCTGGCAGATCGGCTGTGCTTTGGCGCCCAACGTGGGCGGGTTGATCGCCTTTCGCTTCCTCGCGGGGATCGGTGGTTCGGGATGCCTCACGCTGGGCGCCGGCGTCATTGCCGATCTCTTCGTCGTCGAGGAGCGCGGCCTCGCCACGTCCATCTGGAGTCTGGGACCTCTGTTCGGCCCCGTGGTCGGACCGATCTGTGGAGGTTTCGTGGCCCAGCAGATCGGATGGAGGTGGGTGTTTTGGATCCTTCTCATCGCCAGCGCCTCGACCACCATCGGCATCGAGCTGCTCAACAAGGAAACCTACGCGCGCGTCCTCATCCGGTGGAAGACGCAACGGCTCGCCAAAACGCTCGGCCGCAGCGACCTGGTCAGCTGGTTCGACCGGGAGAAAGGCCCCGTCGGTCCCAAACGAACTCTGATGGACGGGATGCGCCGGCCTCTGCAGATGCTGGTCAAGTACCCCATCGTCATGGTCCTGTCGGGGTACATGTCGTTGGTGTACGGCCTGCTCTACCTCCTCTTCACCACCATCACCTTTGTCTTCGAGCAACAGTACGGCTTCTCGCCCCAAATCACCGGCCTCGCCTACCTGGGCATCGGGATCGGGTTTTTCCTCGGCGCCGGAGTCATCGCCGCCACGTCGGACCGGATGGTGATCAAGCTGACGAAGCGCAACAACGGCCAATTCGAGCCCGAGATGAGGATGCCGCTCATGATCATCTTCGCCTGCTTCATCCCCGTCAGCTTCTTCTGGTACGGCTGGGCGGCCGACAAGAAGGTCCACTGGATCGTCCCCATCATCGGCATGGTCCCCTTCAGCTTCGGCATGATGGGCGTCTTCCTCCCCATCCAGACGTACCTGATCGACTGCTACCCCACGTACGCCGCGTCGGCGATTGCCATTTTGACGGCGACGCGGTCCCTCGTCGGGGCCTTGCTACCTCTCGCCGGACCGCCCATGTACGACGCCCTCGGGCTGGGCTGGGGCAATTCTCTGCTGGGCTTCGTCGCACTGGCTTGTATCCCCATTCCACTGGTCCTGGAGCGGTACGGCAAGCAGATAAGGAGCCGGGACAAGCTGGTGCTATGATTGGGCCTTTTCTGCCCTGTCTTGTCTTGTCTTGTCTTGTCTACCCGGTCAAGTCTCGTCGAGAGTCAATAATTTCGTTTCGTTTCGTTTCTTTTTCTTGTCTTTTGTAAATTGTTCGGCCGGTCGGTCGGTCAGCCGGCCAGCAGGCGTCATGGCCCATCCCATAGAGGAAAGGTGGAAAAAGTGGAAAAAGCGCATAGAAGAGGTCTCAAGCTCCTAAATACTCATACAGGGAGGGAGATTTCAACACTTTGTACTTGATATCAGCAAATACATACATATCATATCATCAAAGACCCGGTTGCATGAGCTCAGGTGCCTGCCCCCCTTTTCTCCTTTAGAAGTACGAGGTATTAATTATGAGCAGAAGAAAAATGTAAGCGAAAGTAAGCAAACAGGGGAGAGGGGGATCTGCCTCGTTCTCGTATCGTACGAATAGTGTAAGCAGATCAGCCCCAAGCCCGAAGAAGATTCAATCCACTTCCTGATCGACAGCTTCGCTCTACTTATGTAATTGTCACCTCTCCGTCTACCCTTGCTTGCCTACTTGCCTACTTGCCTACCTACGTACCTAATCAACGCGTCGAGAAGGACTCGTTTATCAAACAGATTTAGTTAGATCCAAGGCGAAGCAAAGCACAGCACAGCACAGCATAGCACGCCCAGCCCCAGCCCACGGTACGTGTCTTTGTTACTTGTATTGATAAACACCGTCAACGAGAAAAGGAAGACCACCTCGAGCGATATCGATAGCGATAGTTTCCCCGGTCGAATGCTAGATGCCGAGTAGGCAATACGAGATAATCGAGTTGGTAGATAGGGATTGATAGATCACACAGACAACTGCGGCACCGAAATGCTAATATTGATCCCAACTTCAACTTCATCCTGGTAATACCTCTTGCGTGTCGTGTCTGTCCACACGTGCATTGACCTCCCTCATCCTAAGTAGGAGCAAAAGTAAAGAGTATGAGGTAGAGCAAAAGGGAAAGAGCCGAGAGCAAGAGTCCATCGAGGAAAATGGACATAAGACCCATCATCATCTGGCTGTTGAACGTCTCAAACTCAAGGGTGTACCTGTACCTGTACCTGTCAAAGGGCATTCAAGTCTCGGATTGCCGCTTATTTACTTTTTGTGCACTCGTCCGCGTCCGCGTCGGCATCGAAAATTAGCATGAGGAAAGGAACGTCCCGAATCTGCTGGCAGCTGGCTGCCCGGTTCTTCTTCCCAGTGTTATATACAACATGCTCTTCTCTGCTCCGGCTCTACCGAGTACAAGCATGTCGAACCACCACTCCGGCTCTAGCTCCCACGCTCTTTCCCAAGACCCATATCTACACCCCCATCACCCATCTCACCCTTTATCAATCTTTTGTAGAAGCTGGCGCTTCAAGCAAGCAATCATGTGATGCCTCTTATTTCGGTGGAATGCCGTTGAGGACTTTTGTCCCCCCCTGTAACGCCCCGTTGCATTCATGTGCAGAAAGATGCGATTTCTTGCAATCTATTGCGTCTTGAACAGCAGTATGGCGACGTGGCCCAGGTAGAAGTAGATGAAGTGTTTTGTCTCTGTCAATCCTCAATCAGTCACAGTCACAGTCACAATCACGGGTCATGAGGGGTGAAGGAAATACCGTGTGTGACAAAACTCCCAAAGTTGCGACCGACTATGCAATGCCAGGTGGCGCCCTTTTTCGAGTCGAACTGCGCGAGGAAGGGGTTTCAGAAATCGTCTCGATTGTATGTCACAGTCATCGGGCTGGGCTGTGCGCGTACCTCTCGTTTAATGTGTTGAGCAATGTCCTATCGCCTTTTGTGAGCATTCACACCCCTCGTGTTCAATGGCGGTTTCGGGAGTATTTATTACCTTTTCGACGCTGAATTTCTCCATTGCCTCCTGGGCTATACACGACAGTCAACAACTCCGTGTCTCTCTCTCCTTGTCGCTCTCGCTCTCTTGATGTTCACTGGGGGCCGCAGTTTCCATACCAACTTCAATTGCTTCTTGTTGCATGTCCTCACTCTTGAGATGATCCGTCAATGACACTTGTCCAGTCCACGTCCATGTCTTGTTTGGCTGGCGGTTACGAGGGGTGTCGTTCTTACCATATCGACAGATTTGATCTGGGCTGCGTCCGGCAGGTCACATATACATGTTAGCGTGTGATCGTGGTCGGGGAAGACGAAGGTCAAGGGCATCTCAGCGCAGGAGAGACAGAGAGTGACTTACGCTCCAACTTGACCTTCTTCTCGGGGATTCCCTCGGCGGCGGCCATGATGTCGGTGGACTAAGCACTATCACAGGGGGAAAAGAGAATGAGTCGCAAGGATAAAAGACTGTACAAGCCGGACAACAAAAAAGTCTGCAGCGGAATAAAACCTGTAGGCACGGGCGAACTTGTGGTGATTGATATGAATGAACAATTAAAGCCACGCATGTGCAGGGCACAGGTCGCAGGATGTAAGTCGCAAAAGGGAGCAAATCATCACAAACCGGGGGGGATCGTCAATTGCGGGTTGAGCGAATCATGGAACGGCACATCTTGGCAGCGAAAGAGAAGTCAAAACTGCTTCGAGCTCACGTGCGCTCACCAGGCTTTCCTTCCTCCCCATCGACTCCGAACCCTCTTACAACCTCTGTTAATTACAAGTCTGCACCTGCCATCTGCCATTTGCCATTCTAATGCAGCTTTTACGTCCTAGGCTTCCATCATGGCGTCCTCGTCCTCGTCCTCGTCCTCGTCTCCGAAAACGTTTACCTCTCCATCTAAAACCTCTTCGCCGCAAAATACTATGCCTGCACGCGATCGCTCAGCGGGGCGAAACGTCCACATCTACGACTTAAATGATCCTACTACCGTAATTGGCGGCCTACGTCTCCTACCCGGTATTACAAATGCCAACTTCTATGCAATGATAGAGATCATTGTTATATTTCCGAGCCCTTTCTCTCTACAAAATGAGAACGAAACGACGATCGAGCGAGACGACCATCCACTTCAACCTGGAAAGTATTACATCGTTGCTAAAGGTTCTTTTGAGCTCAATAATGAGCCATGGCTTGTACGGACAATCAGTCTAGCTACCGGAACTCGTGTTGCTGCCTTCGCTGAGGCTATTCGTTCACGAGATCGTCAATGTATCATATCCGGAGCGCCTGTACCTACCTTTAATGGAATCTCCTTCTGGGACTCATTCGAAGCTGCGCATATTTTCCCACTCGCCTACGAAGGTCACTGGAAGACTCAGGACTATAGTCGATGGATTACAATTCAACCGGAAAAAGGGGGATCTATCAACTCAGTACAGAATGGATTGTTACTGAGACGCGATATCCACAGTCAATTCGACGCATATCTCATCGCAATCAACCCGGATGTATGAACATCTTATATCGATATGAAGGATTAAGGCTAATATTTAATATAGGATAACTATAAGGTTGTAGCCTTTGGGCCAGCGGGGGAAAATATCGAAGGTAAGCATCTTGATCGGGAGATATTTACTCGCCCTGATGCGCCTCTTGATCCGCTTCTACGATGGCACTTTAGACAGGCTGTCCTAGCGAATATGAGGGGTGCTGGAGAGCCGCACTTCGAACATGACCTACCGCCTGGTTCTGATATTGTTGGTCAGATCCTTCGAGGTCCAAAGCCAGGTGAAAGAATGGAATTTGAGCTGTTTAGTCGTCTCGGTGCTCAAATAGAGTTATATCCGTCGGCAGTGAGCTTGAGAGGGGGGGAGGGGGAGGAGACTGACCAATGAATACAGAGCGGCATCATCGTCGTCCTAAAGGGGGTGAGCTCGCGGCAGTTTTTACTTATCTTGGCGGAAATAAAGGACGGAAAACTGCAGGCTGCTCGCATGCAGCTCACCCCGACCGTGCCGCTTCTTGAAACCCGTCACACACGACTCACCCTCGCGGCTTTGCGGCTGATCTCGTGCATTTCATGGCGAGGAAGTTGACTCCGCATGCGACATATGAATACCCTAGCTGCAACAGTACATGGGAAGCAAAACTTCAAGCAGGAGAGGACTATTCCTGCATCGTGTGCGGCACGCGCCGTTCAGTTGGGATTCGTTCATGGCGAGCCAACATTGGGTGACGGAATTAGTATGGCTACAAAGCATGCCGTTCAATGTGTATCAGATCTACCATTGATCATAGTTAACGCTCCTCTATTCACTACTGTGATGAATTAAGAGGACTTCCCTTGCCTTGTCGTCATCTCCAGACGCAGCAGAGGGTGTGCTCTCCGGCTCCAGGTAGATTTTTCGAGCTCGCGGCTCCGATTCAAAGATGGCAGCGACTTATTCTTCTTCTCAAAACTGGGGCAAACGCCCTCTTCCAGAACTCCCTCCAATTACTCCCATCCCAGAAGTATTTGCTGACCATCCCCGCCTCTGCTCTCAAGGCCGCCGAGGAAGACGACATCCTCAAGATTATTGATCCCTCCTACGTAGCCTCGTACAACTGGTTGGCAAGAGTGAAGCCGACAATCCTAGTTTCAGGTATGTGAACCTCCGCACGAATGACTTCGTCTGATTGCTCCCAGGAAGCCCTTCAAGATGGGCACCTCCATGCTCCAGCCTTAAGCCGGACAGAGGGACATACTTCAGAGACAAGAACGCCTCCCAATATGCCGCATATTCAACGGAGCCTGCCGTTCGCGCCCTGTTCACGCTGAAACCTGACTTCGATGGACAAGAGGTTGATTTGTGTCACCTCGCCGCCATTGCAACCACCACGACTGCCTCTCTTCACCCGCCTCAGTTTACTAGACTAGTATCCCCTGGCGGGTCACACCGGGCACTCAAGCTTTATTGTGCCATGAGAAGTAGGGTCTGCTTACCAGATCGCACGTATGCTCACAACGTGCCGCCCGTACCCACCCAACACGATGCACCTTTCGAAATTCGACGATCAGGGTCACCTCAGCCTGACTGAGGATCTTCACGACGGCATTCCCGCCTACGCGATCCTCTCGCATATATAAGGGGGACGATAAGGACGAGGTCGATTTCGACGACCTTGAACAGAACACAAATCGTTCACGAGTAAGGCTCGCTCTGCGAAGATCCGATTTTGCGGTGAGCAAGCGAAGAAGGACAATGTCGATTACTTCTGGGTGGATATATGCCGCATAAACAAAGCGAACAATACGCAATACTTTGAAGCCATCAACTCGCTGTCTCGCTATTACCGCAATGCCGTCAAGTGCTATGTCTATTGGACTGGGTCGAGGCTCTTGGCCAGAGACATCAACTCGTACGGCGGTGGGCATGGTGTTGGGGGTAACGGCTAGCGCACTGTAATAACAAAGCAGCATAGAGAGTCCCGATCGGGTAGATTCCATAACTTGATTGATCACTGTCCTCAACTCCTCAATTGAGTTGCTCGCTGTGCAGATGGATAGATCCTGTGGATAGATCCTGTTGAAGGATCAAGGAAAAAGGAATCTCAGACCTAGTGACAGAGATCTAACCAATCAGCGGCCAGGACTGTCATCCTGTACATTATGCAGGTAAATCCCACTAATCACGTTTCAGCCTGTAGATTCCCCCATCACACTAGGTATTTAAGCCGCTAAGGGTGATTATGTAGCTTGCATGGGGGATCTCAGGCCACCTGTCTGGGTACCTGTAAATCTGCCCCCAGGATCGGCCTCGTAGCGCCCCAGTGCGCCCCAATCCCATCTTGTCTTTTTGTGAGACAAACATCTCGTGTTGTCGAAATGACTGACTCGCGGACGATCCTTCTAAACTCACCCGCCATCCTCCTCCACCGGGCAGAATTTCCGATTCCTCAAAACTTGCTCTCACCATGAAGCAGACACACAGTTACACAGCCTCCCATTACGTGAGCGACAACGGCTTTCCCTTAAGCTGGATGTGCCGTTGCTGTATCACCGGTGGTGTCGCCAAAGACAGAGAGGCCGAAATCGAAGAGCATTACTTGCGCAGCAGAACTCAGGCTGGCAAGATCATCGGTCGCCCTGCTGGGCTTCAAACATACCCCAAACGAGCAACCATGCAATACCAGCGGCAATCTCCCGACCCCGACACGACGGTGCAGGGTCCGCAGAAAGGCGAGCCACAGGAGGCGGCGGCTGAATCCACGACGTCGAACACTTGAGATTTCACAACTTTGCGGATTCGCTCCGCCCACCCACACAGTCTTCCGACTACATTGCAGGAGCAGGTCTCCATAGTTTTACAAGCGATGTACCATTTTTGGGCACGCGGCAAACCCCTTTCAGAAGGCTTACTATCGCGACGAGACACACGCTACAGCGGCAAAAGCGTACGACATGAGGAGGGTGCGTGGTTCCTTTTTTTCTTTCTTTTCTTCTCTCTTCAGATCTGTACCTCCTTGTTACTAGGTTGGCTAGCTAGTTGCAGAAACTCTTGCCAAACTTTCACAGGGATCGCCACTTCCCTCAGGCCCGCATCACTCCGCGGAAAGAGATACGTCAGGACGTGTTGTTGGATGAACAGAATGGGCTTTAAATAGTGGAAATTGGTACTGTCTTCCAATGTTGTGGACTCATCAAGGTGCTTTATAGCTGGGCATATATCGGCACTTGTCGAGGGTACATACGTTCCCTATTCCCCCACTCCCATCCGACACTACCAGCCCAGCACCAGTTGGGGTTGGCGTTTTGGAGGCCGCCGAATTGGGTTGCCAACGAACCCATGTTGACATGGCCGTGATTGCCTTGCCGTACCTTGTCGACGCACCGGCGTGGCCGGCGAGATCTCTGTCACCTGAGCAGTCCACGAATGCTTTACCAGAGATTGTTCGCCTCCCCCTTCGCTCTTGAACCTCGACCGTGACAAGCCTGCCATCGGTCCTCTCACCAACAACCACGGCGCAATGTGGTAAAACTTCAATATCATATGAGGCGATCATGTCATCCAGGACATGCTTAAGCTCCTCGCTATTCGACATGCTGGAACCAAAGTTAGCTTCGAGTTCGAGGATGTAGAATTTCTGTTTCGCCTGAATATATGCGACAACTCCTGTCGGGAAGTGCAGTCGCCGCTCCCTCCGATACCAGCCTTGCGTGGAGTTCCGTCCAGATTTGCCCTGCCACCCTTCGAGGGTCGGTCAGGTGGTCCCACGCTGTAAGGTCCGCAGCATGAGAGGACTCCGCGGTGAGTAGGTGCGCCACCGAGACATGCCTTGGACTGAATGATCAAGACCCGTGACTGTGGCGCTGTCTGCTTTGCGCCTATCGCAGCACTACCGACCACAATCACATGGTAGGATCCTTCAAAATCAGCCATGGACAGGAAGCCATTGATATGGTCTTTGGATTTGCCATTCTCAGTGTTTGGCATCTTGATGTCTGAGTCAATTGCTACCAAGATCACCAGGCTTGGACTCGACCATTGCATATATAGATCCCTTGCTGCGGGATCTCAACGTGTACCCAAATGGCCTTGGCGATAGGTCACCCGCTTCAACGGCTTCGCTCCGCCCTCCGCCCCTCCCTCCGCTCTCCAGGTTACGTGATTCAAGGAGGCCCCCATTTCCACATAGGTTAGTATTACTTTAAAGAGGGAGCCACCGTGAACGTTGACGAGGCTCTAGTGGAAAAAGGATGTATGGGAAAACACTCAAGAAGCGTCCCTTCTGGGTACCCAAGGTGTACCACGATTTTGAGGATCAAGAATCTCCCCTTCAATCGGGGCTTACGCTGTGGCTATTTGTTGATAGAATCTATCTCAGAGGACAGTAGTGAGTTTATTGATCCTTCAACTGGACTACACTTCAGAAATGACCCCAGCTAAAGTGTCAGGGGCTCAATCGATTTTTCGACCTATGTACGGGGCCCCGCCTTTCCTCCCCAAAGGTGTCACCCAGTAGATGGGTCCCTCACGCGGAACTCTCGAGGGGAGTGGGAAGAGGCTTTCGTTTCGCACCGTAGAGCCTGTTGGAAATGTACTAGAAGAGATTTCAAGACAGAACATGTCAGTAACTCTGAGTATCGGTTGCTCTAGGGTCTCTGAGTTTTGTTGCTTGCAGAGATCTTCTCTTCCGCGCGCACGTCCCGCGGGGGGGGGGGGGGGGGCAGTATGGTTGAGTGACATATATAGCTTACCTCGCCAGCGACAAAAGGCTCATGCTTCGCAGGCCGGTCTTCATTGACGCAAGTATGTATGGCCTGGATTTTGGTCGTGTAGTTTGGCCCAATGAACAGCGGAAAGGAGTAACGCTCGCGGCCGGAGACGTTGTAGACTCGGTGCAAGGTTGAGCGAAAGACATCGTTGGTCCAGCGAGAGAGAAAATCGCCAATGTTCACCACAAAGGTGCCGGGGATCGGAGTCACTTCGATCCATTCGCCCTTTTTCGTCTGTACCTGTAGACCATTGGTCTCGTCTTGACAGAGAATCGTAAAGCCTGCAGCCGGAAACAAGAGTGAGTGTTGGTTTGGTAGCAGGGAGCAGGTAGCAGGTAGCAAATGTATCACCTACATTCATAGTCCCTGTGTGCCCCGATACCGGGATGGTCAGGGTCGAGTATTGACGCCGGATATCTGAGCAGCCGCATGATGGCACCCGGTCGAACCAGGAGATCATCAAAATAATCTTCGGGGAGGTCGAGCACAAGGGCAAAGGCTCGGATCATCCGTCGACCCAGATTCAACACCTCGCCGTAGTAGGCGAACAAGTCTTGTTTCCACTGCTCAGGGAAGTTTCGAGGCCAGACATTGGGACCCTTTAGGCCCTCATACAATGGCCATGGCTCGGAGAGGGGAGTCTGGGAGTCGGCTGCGGGCTCGTAGCCGAAGTTGAAGGCTTCCTTCATATCTGCACGCATATGAATTTTAGTCCAATGGATTGCATGGTATCAACATGGTGGCTGAATACTCTCGGGCAAAAAGGACGGAAAGGAAACACTCAATCCGTGAAAAAAACAAAGTGTTTGGGAAGAAAAACGAAGGAGAGAAGGAGAGAAAAAAAACCTCACCTCCTTTTGTCTGCGGATCCACCGCTCCATAATGAATGTCTTCATACCCCTTGAAGCTCTCGTTCTTGGTCACATACACCTCCATCTTATCCTCGGCCGGCAGGGAGAAAAATTTCTTCGACACCTCAAACGCGCGATCAATCACTTCCTGAGGCACACCATGATTCTTGACGTAGAAAAAGCCGACGCGAATACAAGCATCACGGACTTCTCGCGCCACAGCGATCCGGTCGGTGATTTCCTCGCTGGAAAGACCGGCCAGGTCAATGACGGGGACTTCTTTGAAATCTGCTGCCTCAAGCCTCTTCGCTGTCTGGAGAAGGGTTTCGCCCAGGAGCGGCTCCTGGAGGCTGCCCATTTCTTTTTTCCCCCTCTTTCTTCACCTTAACGTTGGTGATGTGGAAAGGACCAAGGTGAGTTCAAGTTTGGGTCGATTCAAGGCCCCCTGAGCGTGGAGGGAACGTACTGGTGGGGAATTGACGACAAGATTTGTTCCACGATAGAGATATACCAACAATTACTCGAAACGAACTGCGATTTTCTAGACCCTCACTAGGTCGCAATAAATACAACTATTTGTATCACACACAGCAACACAAAAATCAAATGGCATGGCCAGCACTTAGTCGCGTGACCGGATAAGTGCCTTTCGCTTTGGAGATATGGTTGTGTAACTGACTTGGCAGGGCCCGCTATCTATACCCCCTTTATCGCCCCACTTCCTCGATATCTCTTCTCCACATTGTCCCTCCCAAAAAGACCATAGTGTATTGCAAGCGGTATCTCCCTCGAACCAGTGTGTCTTGGGGAGAAACCCGTCAGTTGCCTACCTACTGTCAAAGCTCTAGTTCTATATGTCCAATGCCTCTAGAAGAGCAGGCTAGCATTGCTGAGGCCTTATCCGATTCCAACAAGCCGGTTCCACGATGGTCAATGCGTCCCTTTGCAACTTGGACACGACAAGTGCCACAGCTTCCAGCTTCACACGATGACGGTACATCGATGCCCGCCTCCCTCAATGCTTCCAGAAGGCTCCGTGTTGGCGGCACTTGGATTGTCTTTTGGCTCGTCAGGAGTGCCGCGGTGAAAGGATCACCTGAGGTCGTGATTGTGAAAGCCTCAAAGTGGATCTGTTCTTCTGCCAGCCCATATCGCTTCGCCGTGGCGGCAACGTCGTCCATCAATCTGGGAGACCCGCAGCAATACACGTGTGTGTTGGTCGTCACTTTGGACATGATACGGGCGAGGTCCAGCCGCCGTCCCCTTTCTTTGTCATAGATTACGAGGTTCTTGCCGAGCTTCGATAGTCTCTCCCTGAAGGGTACCTCATGGTTCGAGCGGACGGCCAGATGTAACGTGAAATTCTCCCCCGATTCCTTCAATTTTTCCGCAGTGGGAAGGAAGGCTGTGATTCCGATTCCACCAGCGATCAAAATATGTTCGTCCGCCTCTGACGCAAGTGGGAAGCTGGTGGTAATTTTCCCGACTGAGAATACATCTCCCACTTTGGCATTTTTATGCAGATATAAAGATCCTCCACGGGACTCGTCTGCAAGAGCCACGCCCAGCTCGAAGCGGTCCTTGGTGCCACCAACAACGGAGTATGCTCGGACCAGGTCACCCTTGTCTCCCAACTTCAAGCGCACGTGAGATCCAGGTTCAACTTTGGGACTCGTCGTTTGAGACTGCTCTCCGACAACCTCGAAAACGAACGAACAGATTCGAGGGGTCTGTCGAAGCTTCTGCACAAGCTTATAGTCCGACCAGGCCTCCAGAGCAACCGAGTCGTCACCAAACATTCGTTCGTCCTGATTTTCAAAGTTCTTTTTCAACCTGTTCTCGAAGATGGTGATTGATTCTCCGCCGAGGCCTGGAAGATTCACCAATTCGGCCATGACCTCAAAGTTTTTCATTTCCCGGTACAAGTAGTGTTGGACTGCGGCCACCGTCCACTTCGGGTTCAGTCTCTCGACAAGTTTGATTTCGTCGCCCGGTGAAATGTAGCCCTCCTTCAAGACCCGATAGTACCAGCCCGTCCTGCTCTTCATCTGAGACTGCCACGCCATATCCTTGACTTCGAAGCGGTGGTTGAGTTTGAAACAGGGTTGTCGTGGAAGACTGACCTGCACTGTGACTTCTGGACCAATCGTGAGGATGTCTCCAATGCAGATATTCTGTTCATTAGCTGAGGTACTGACCAGGTTCTCCCCAAATCCGCCGACGGTGAAATGCTTCGCACTCCCTGGACACTCTGCTTTCCACGTCTCATAGTGCCTTGCGCAATAGTGAAGCAGCGCCTTGTCCGGCCCTCCGTGGAACTCGTATGCGTGCTCATCACCCTCGCAACCAAGCTTTGTGACTTTGACAGGCCGAGTATGAGGATTCTTGTAGATTGCCGACTTGACTGGGAGGTGGTAAAGTGGTTTGATCTTTCCAGTCCGTACTTGAAGCAATCTTTCGGTCTCAAACGGCAACTTTAGGCCCACAAGGTCTTCTTTTTGTTCGTCTGAAACCATATTTGGCAATCTGCTCGAAGATGGAATTATGAATATATAGCTGACCTTGGCCTCGCGCTGTATGTGAGAGACGCAAAAGGCCACCTGGAGCCGCCAACTAGTTTGTGGTCGTATTGCAACAATGGAATATTGGCTCAATTGAATCAATTCATGATACCAAGTGTCTAACCGTCACAAGGTTCTAAAACAGCCTACCATGGTCGATCTTTAGGTCATCAGAACTACGTGGTATACACAAATCTCCCATACAAAGCCCCATGCACTAAGTTTCGACAAGCACCAGTACTGTTGCTGCTGGCGGGGATCTACGCAAAACTCCGAAACTGGGTTTAGTGTTGGGGGCGAGAAGTGAGTATTGTAGAGAGATTTCAATTGAGTTCCGGAGAGGAACGCAAAAAAGCGGGATCAAAGTACCAAGAGTATACCTAAAAGTATGATAATATGATAAAGTCGAAGTTTGATAAGGGGACGTACGCTCTAGATTTCAGTCCCCACTATCCTATCAAAAACATCTCTTATCATAATAGATACCATTTATGGATGTTCTGATCTGGAACGGGCGCTGTTGCATTAACGGGCCTGTATATCTTTCATGCAGGTCCCGGTAGTATGGGATAAGAGGGAAGGCATTCTCATCGCCGTTACGAGCATAGGCAGGTGTGCGTACTAAGAAAACACGTTCAAATTCGTCAATTCGTTTTACACATCGGAATTGCAAAACGAATTGCGAACTTTTCTGGGGTTGGAATTTTCGATCGAAAAGGGCCAAACAAAGATCCACAACCATGACTCTCAGAGAGCGCACGGCCCAGGTGGCAGAGAAGTGCCAGATCAAGCACGACTACTATGACAACAACGCTGAGGGCGCGCAAAAGAGTAAATATCTTTGGAGTCCTGACCTAGCTCCGGTTGAGCCTGCACGACGGACATGGGGTTGGTACAACTTCATGAATCTCTGGATCTCGGGTAGGTATACATGTCGAGCCGCGTTCTACCATGTCGATTCCATGACGGCGCGATTTGGTTTTGGTTTCGCTGACTGGAATTTTCTCACAGCCTCGTTCAATGTCAATACGTGGCAGCTTGCCGGGAGCTACGTCGCCGCCGGTCTCGCCTGGTGGCAAGGTTGGCTTTGTATCTGGGCAGGATATATTCTGACGGGTGTCTTCGTCTCACTCGGAGGCCGAATGGGGGCAATGTACCACATTTCGTTTCCCGTGGCGATTCGCTCTTCTTTCGGCATCTATGGGTCGATTTGGCCAGTGCTCAATCGTATTGTCCTGGCCATTATCTGGTACTCCGTCCAGGGCTGGATTGGAGGACAGTGAGTTTGTCCCTGAGCCAACTGTCAAAACAACCACCTTGGTCTTTGGATATAGGAAAAAATAAAGGCTAACAACAAGTGCCTCCCCCAAAACCAGATGTCTTTATCTCATGCTGTGTGCGGTTTGGCCAGGGACCGCTCGAATCCCAAATCATCTCCCAGCGTCCGCTCAGACAGATACAAAGCATATGATGTGCTTTTTCCTGTTCTGGCTCTGTCAACTGATCGGTAAGAAAACTCTGCATGCCTCGCTTTTGCGGTTGAGAATACCCTGCTAAGACGGCGAAAAAAGGCATATACTTCCCTTTGCACAAAGTCAGACATCTATACACTATCAAGGCGGTGACAGCTCCCATTGGAGGCATCGCATTCGCTGCATGGGTGGCTGTGAGAGCAGGCCACGGTGCCGGTCCCGTCATGTCTCAAAGCAGCTGTAAGTGTTCATGAAGGTCGATGTTTTGCCTAGCCCCCATCATTGATATGACGACTACGCAGCCCTCAAAGGTAGTGCCTTGACATGGACCGTGATCCAAGCCATCATCTCCTCCTTGGACAATTTCAGCACATTCATTCTGAATGGTGAGTGTGGGATGAAAACCCACAAGGTCTCCCTCTCTTCTGGCTGATTTACTGAATCAAACCAATACGCAGACTCCGATTTTTCGCGGTTTTCAAAGAAACCTTCCAATGCCCTCTGGTCTCAACTCATTACAGTTCCAGTCTCATTCTCAGTCACTTCCCTGGTTGGTTTGATCGTCTCCAGCTGCAGCGCTACATTATACGGCTCCCCGCTTTGGAATCCTTTGGACGTCTTGGAGCGAGTAAGTACCCAAGTTGTAGCATGAGAAGTTCAAATTCTAGGCCAGAAGATCTGTCATCTAACCTCTAAACTCCCTAGTTTGTTACCGACAGTCCATCCAGCAGCGACAGGGCCGGGGTTTTCTTCCTCGCTCTGATCTTTGTCTATGCTCAGGCCATGACAAATCTGACAGGTGCAAACTCTGCGGGAAGTGACTTTACCGCTCTGTTCCCTCGATACCTCAATATTCGTAAGCTCATCCTCATTTGTCCCCTTGATTCCGAGTCTGGGATAGACAAGACTAACATTGACGCAGGACGTGGTGGGTATGTTGCCGCAGTGTTGTCTTTTGCCTGCGTGCCGTGGAAACTCTTATCCAGCAGCAACAACTTCTTAGCATACGTCGGTGCCTACAGTGTCTTCCTTTCTGCGTTCGTCGGACCTTATTTCTGTGATTACTTTATCGTCCGCCGAGGTCATCTTGCAGTTGACCAGTTGTACTCCAACAAGTCGTCCGATCTCTACTGGGGCTTGGGCGGGTTTGGCATCAACGCTTACGTGGGATACCTGTGGGTTTTCTTCATCTCCTGCCTCTTTCAGCCGCAGAAATCTAACGATTTTCACACAGATGCGGATTGATATTCAACATCGTTGGTGTTGCCGGAGCGATGGGAGCATCGATACCGATTGGTGCCTGGTACTTGTGTAAGTCTACGCCTGTTTGCAAGGTCTGCTTCCTTCCAAAGGGACTGTGAATACTGATTTGTTCGCTCTAAACGTTCAGATCAGTTCAACTTCCTCATGGGTGTTTTCGTAAGTGGAGGAGTATACTACCTGATGTGCAGATTCGGACCTTTCAAGGTCGAATGTAACAAGGGCTGGAATGAAACGGGAGACGCTGCCCTCATTCCATCGATTATGATCAATGGTGTTGATCCATATGCACAGGCCAGGGGAGATTCAGAAGCCAGCGTCGTTGTTGAAACAAAGGACAGCGAGGTACAGTCAGTTGTGGAGACGTTCAAGCATTAAAGGCCTTGTGTGATCGACATGCGGATATTGAGTCGTTCGATGCAGAATGTGCTACTTGTGACTCGGCGCAAAATCGTGGTGACGCCCATTAGAAGCAGAAGAATGCGAGAGTAAGTAGATAGATTTTGATAATTTCCTTGCCTGTGAAATGACATTTTGCAATAAGAACTGGGTCTTCTTGCAACATCAGGAACAATGCCTAATTCTCGAGAGTCCTACCAGAGTTTCACCGGCCTGGTGACTGAACTGAATGGCCATGGATGCCTGCAAATGAAGAAGGTAGACAAGGTCAGAAGCATATAGGCGAAGAAGTGCCTATTCATGGCAGAGGCGATAGCTGCGAACACCCTGCCCATATCGAGCCTATCCTTTGACAACATGGAGACATTGGTTGAGGCGACGGTTTTCATTTGTACCGAGGATCGGTAGTCTCATCTTCTAAAGGTGAAAAAGTACAGTTGGTTGCATCGAACCGTCGGCTTTCCGACTCCACCATCCTCGCAAAATGGACTTCGTCTCAGCTGTATCAAACTTCCAGCATTCCATGCCCCTTTCTGGAGGATCCTTTCATGTACCATAAAATCGATCCCCGAAATCACCAAGTCCTGGATCGATGTACCTGTAGAGTCGGTAATTTGTCAATGATCGGAAGTCGACAAGTTGATGAAATCGCATATATGGGTATCGACAAACCTTTTTGAATTCAAATCCTTGTCAATAGCCGCTGTCACTAACATCAACTTCGGAAAGCGTTCAGAGACCAGGCTGACTGCGCTCGCCGAGGCTATGAGATTGACAACAATGATCTGTTCCTCCGGCACACGATGTTCAAGGACCAGCTCGATTGCTTTACTCACTGAGCCTCCAGTCGCAAGCATTGGCTCGAGAATCAGTACGTCTGCTTAAAGTCAGCAACGTGATCGCACACCCCCGTTTTTTGGACGTGGTTGAGAAACCTTACAAGCGTTCGAAATCGACGTAGGAAATTTGGTGTACAGATGCACTGGGAGGCTCGTTTTCTCGTCTCGTTGGATTAAGAGCTTTCCGAAGCTCAAAGGACCGCTTTTTCATTCGCAAAGATAGGGTCAGCATGGATATACACTTTCGCCTTCGCCTCCCCTTTGGTGGGAAGGAGGAGAAGAGGAAAAAGGGATGATGTGTGCTGGCCGAGCCTGAAAAAAAGAATAAGCGGGTAGATTCGTATTCACATACTTGTAAGCCGTTCTCAGCGCATCTTCCAGGCTGGCCCCTGCCCTTAGGATGCTGATGCCACAGACTTGCTTTGCTTGTCGCACGCCCTGGTACGTGCCTCCTGTCGGGGTCGTCACTTGTTGACATTCGACTGGGATGAAATCCAGCGCTGTAGGAGGAAAACGAACTCGTCAGAATGGTTGAGCACGAACTTGGAAAACAGCCAGAGCAAATTTCATCAAGCGGTCTCTGGTTTTTACCTCTGGCCATGAGCTGTGCAGCCACCTTTGCAAATGCATCGATAAAGTCTTTGCCCTCTGTGTTTTGACTGCGCAGAATGGTCATGGAACTTAGGAGTTGATGGTTCTGTGGCAGGAGGACGCACTTCTCCATGGTGTTGCGCATCCTTGAAGCGAGAGCATCCAAACTTGGAACACACAGGTGTTATTCTTGAAAGCCCTATGGGAGGAAGACTGGAGTCTAGGTCCTGGGGCTCCAGGATTTAGCATGTGAGCATCGGGACGCCAAGTTGGCCGACTTGACAAACAGACATATCGTACTGGTAGATCCAGTCTTTGGGAATAGGCATACAACTCTTATCGACGCCTATAACTTCCATATCGGGAGGTTCCAGCCTCCGATACGAAGAGGGATCTCAGATAAACAATGCGAGGCCCTGTGAACCTTCTGAAATTCCCCACGTATTCTATTATCTAAAGTATCTTTAATCTACCGAGGACCTATCTATAAGGGGCCCCACCCAGATTACCTTCGAAAGCACGAGATTTCCGCTGCAGTATAGAAGAGATTGGCAACCTGGTCATTATGAGGAATTCATCTATCTTCCAAGTACAGTGTTTGTGGTTCGGTTACTTTGTACCTAGAACCCACTTGAGCGGGTCAGACTGTTTGTTTCGAGGCTGACGCTGTGCGCCCTGGGGGCACAGGACATGGAAATAGAAGCAAAACTTCTCAACAGCTTGGTAGTTGTAACTTGATCGTAAGGGGAATGATAAATCCAACACTGATACATTGAAGAGCCTGCGTAGTAGGTCTGGGAACACGCATTCTCACTGGGTATCCGACCTGCTCACTGTTCCTCTTGCAGACACCAATCTTGTTTCGCGGTAAAAAGTGTTGGGCGATCGAATTCTCTATCCCAGAATGTCCATTCAGGTACTTAGTGGTCAGTATTATTCCTCTGACACCGGTACTCCGTACCATACGTGTTGAAAGATGTCCCTAACCGAGATTGAAATGGACGAATATAGGAGGGAGTCATCCAGACTTCGCCGAACTTGTATGCCAGAGGCTGGGGGAGGAGTCACCGTCCACAAAACTCACATCGTCGCGGTTTTCGAATGGCGAGACCAGCATTGTCATTGGAAACTCGGTCCGCGGCGCCGATCTGTTTATCATCCAGACAGCAGCAGAACCGGTCAACGACATGCTCATGGAACTCTTAATTACGATCAGCGCCTGCAAGACTGCCTCCGCCAGGAAGATCACCGCCGTGCTCCCCTGTTTCCCTTATTCGAGGCAAGACAAGAAAGACCGCAGCCGAGCTCCCATCACGGCTAAACTGGTGGCCAACATGCTTGAGACAGCCGGCTGCAACCATATCATCACTATGGACTTGCACGCCTCACAAATCCAAGGCTTCTTCAACATTCCCGTGGACAATCTCTATGCCGAGAGTGCAATGGTCGAGTACATTCGAAGTAATATGTCCCTGGACAACGTCGTCATTGTGTCTCCTGACGCAGGTGGTGCGAAGAGGTGAGTCTTAAACTGGGAGTCAATGGGAGAAAATATAAAAACAAAAGAGGCTTACGTTGTCACTGGGCTGCTATCATTGCGGACAAGCTGCGTCTTGATCTAGCCCTCATCCACAAGGAGCGTAAAGTCGCCAGTAAAATCAGTCGTATGATTCTGGTTGGATCGGTCCTCAATAAGACTGCCGTGATTGTTGATGACATCGCGGACACATGGTAAGTCTTTTATGAATATCTATGCAACTCATCCTTTTCATTTTCAATTTTTCTGGGGGACCAGTGGACCTCTACTGACTGCACACTCAGTGGCACCCTGATCATGGCAGCGGACGTATTGAAGAGCCACGGTGCCATCAGTTGCCGTGCCGTCGTTGTCCATGGATTTCTCTCAGGTCCTGCAATCCAGAAGATCGAGGAGAGCTCTTTGGAGAGACTCGTGGTCACAAACACCCTTCCCCTATCACCGGCCGCTCAGAAATGTCCCAAAATCGAGTCCATCGACGTCAGCGGCATCATTGCAGAAGCAATTCGACGGACACACCATGGTGAATCGTAAGTAACATACCCCTTTTTCTAGGCAACAATATTCTCCAGGCTGAGTGAAAATCAATGCAGCATCTCCTTTTTGTTTAATTAGACAGCCAGATGGCAGATGCCTGGTAGATCACCGGTACAAGAGACAATGCAAGACTGGAAGAATGGTTAGGATTGGACGCGTTGTGTAAACCAAAATTGGTGAGAGGATGTCTTAGCACGGGCGATTACAATTCTCCAGTATACAGCATACAGTATGCAATTCACACTCTCAGTGCACCTTGTTGAGGACATCTCCATGAACCTTTCGTGCACAACTCTATCAATGTCCTGATCGATTTGATGCCATTGGGCATTTATTCTCACTTCTGATTGGTGAATCCCGGAAAAGGACCCGCTTTGCCAACCTTTCTCGGAGCTTTGCAATCATCCCCGGGTTCATATCGCGGACAAGCGCTGAGTCACTGGCGCCTGCATCGGGTGGTCTCGGTGGATCCCGGATCCTGGATGAATGTCTGAAAGCTCTCGTCAACATTTTGGGAAGGAAAGGGGATGGAGAACAAGCCAAAGGTCTGGCCATGATCCCAATTCGACGAACCCCACAATATCATACCCTTCACACGTTGTGCTCCATCATCTTGTCTTATCTTCACACTCCAACTGTACAATCTGTGGTCTGTCGCTCACTTTCAATCTTTTGATAGTGATATCTGCTATCAAGAGATCGAAGGCTTGAGAGTAGGTTTGGTAGGCTTTGTGTTCAGGGCTTGATACTAATGAAACACGATGGTCGTCCAACGCTCTGGAACAGCGGTGGCGACGGTGTTAGAGCAGCCTTTGTCTCTAGTAGTCGACAGCAACGATGACACAGCTGGTGACTACCCTCCCAACCATCGCCATCGGAATAAGAGACTTCGCAGCGATGAAACAGGCACCCGGTTAGGCACCAGCGACCCCAGCAGGGTGACCGTGCCTCTGAAGCAAAGCGCCAGCACTGGAGCTAGCACTAGCACCATGGCTCTGCCCACGCCGCCTACCACAACTCAAAACCTGATCAACAATGAATTCGGCGTGTCCAAGACGAGAGTCTGGATGAAGGTCCTGGATCCTGCGTCACAGAAGCTGCTCGCCCGGGTGCCGGATTCAACTCCAGCAGAGATCCAAAAAGCCGTGACGGTGGCGGACGCGGCGCAGACAGCGTGGGCGTCGTTGCCCATATCGAAACGGAAAGCCATGCTTTTCTCCCTGCTGGGTGTTTTGCAGCAACACACAGTCGACTTTCAACAGTCACTGCAGCTCGAGGTGGGGAAGACACTGCAGGACGCCGAGTCGGAATTCGAGAGAGGAATTGATGCTATCCACACTGCGTGCTCAGCCACGGCCGAGATGAATGGCAAACACTGGACCACCAATTCGACAGAGACCTACACGATCCACCAGCCCGTCGGGGTCTGCGTAATCATCACTCCCTTTAATTTCCCTTTTATGATCCCTCTGTGG